CAAGGTCAGTAGCTGGAAGGGCACAGATGGTATACACAGAGAAAGTGAAGTGACAGGAGATGGGGTGAGTACCCAGAGACAGCTTCCTCCCAGGCAAATCTTCAGAGGCCAGGCAGTGACATTTGTCCCATCTCCCACCTCTCCCCCAAAGAGAGCCACAAGGCAGTGAAACAGATTACCTTGCCTAGGAGATTACCTAAGACCCTGCCTCACGCAATTTATAGGTGCACTTTGCTACAATAGACTATGCTACTAAGATAGCGAGTCAAAGCAGCTCTATCTAATACGCAGAAATAAACACAGGGAGGCTGCCAAATTAAGGAAAAAAGAAATATGGCCCAAATGAAAGAACAGAAGGAAAACTCCAGGAAAAGAGCTAAATGAAATGGAGATGAGCACTGTATCAGCTGCAGGGTTCAAAACACTGGTTATCAGGATCCTCAAAGAACTCACTAGGTACTACAATAACGTAAAAAAGCCCCAAGCAAAAATGAATGCTGCATTAAATGAAATAAAGAAAAATTTATGGGAACCAACAGTGGAGGGGATAAAGCTGAGAATCAAATCAATGATATGAAACACAAGGAAGAAAAAAGCATTCAATCAGAACAACAAGAAGAAAAAAGAATTTTTAAAAAATGAGGATAAACTAAGGAGCCTCTGGGACATCTCCAAATGTAACAACATCCAGATTATTAGGGTTCTAGAAGAAGAAGAGGAAGAGTGAGAAATTGAAAATTCATTTGAAAAAATAATGAAAGAAAACTTCCCTAGTTTGGTGAAGGAAATAGTCATACAAGTCCAGAAAACACAGAGAGTCTCAAACAAGTTGGACCCAAAGAGGACCACACCAAGACACATCATAATGAAAATACCAAAGGTTAAAGATAGAGAGAGAATCTTAAAAGCAACAAGAGAAAAGCAGAGTTACCTACAAAGGAGTTCCCGTGAGACCATCAGCTGACTTCTCAAAAGAAACTGCAGGCTAGAAGGGACTGGCAAGAAGTACTCAAAATAATGTAAAGCAAGGACCTGCTTCTCAGAGAAGGTAAAACTAAAGGAGTTCATCATCACCAAGATATTATTATATGGAATGTTAAATGGAACTATATAAGAAAAAGATAAAAACTATGAACATTAAAATGTCAACAAATATTGCAAAAGGTAGGAGCTCCTTCTTTCTGCTGCATATACCATATGACCTCACCTTTAACAGGAAGCTAAATAACAAAACAAACAAGCAAGCAAAATAAAAACAAAGACACTGAAATAGAGAACAAGGGGACAGTGACCAGAGGGGAGGGAATTTCAGGGGAAAAGGGGAAGGATTTACAGGAACTAGTATAAAGGACACATGGACAACAACTAAGGGGGGTGGAAATGGGAGGGAGGTGGGGAGCACTCCGGGGGGAGGGGGAGGGGGGCTGGGATGGGAATAAAAAACAGAAAGCTGTACTTGAACAATAATTTAAAAAAGAAAGAAAGAAATGTCAACACATCAATCAACAACTGAATCTAAAAAACAAAGCAAACAAGTGAATGAGGAACAGAATCATAGATATGATGATCATTTGGAGGGTTATCATCTGGGAGGGGGAGGGGTACAGGGATTAAGGAGTACAAACTGGAAGGTACCAAATAGACAAGGGGAGGTTAAGAACAGTATAGGAAATGGAGAAGCCAAAGAACTTATATGCGTGACCCATGGACATGAACTAAGGAAGGGTGCATTACTGTATGAAATGGGGGTACCAGGCAGGGAGGGGCAAAGAGGAGAAAACTGGGTCAACTGTAATAGCATAATAAAATGTATAAAATATATTTTTTTCATTTTAATTTTTTTAATCTACCAGATTGAGTATCTACTCTATGTCAAACTCTACAGATACTGAAAATGTAAACCTGAAGTATGATCCTGCCCTTCAAGACCTGCTCCTCATTGCTTCTGATCAGCAAAATACAGGGAAACTCAAGGAGAGGGGCAGTATTCAAAGTGAGCATAGGACTCTCAGAAGCTAATGAGAAAAAAGGACACAAACCTAGGCTGAATTTCCCAAGAACAGAGAAAATATTCTTTCCAGTGTGCTTCTTTCAAATGAAAGGGAAAAATAACCACCTTCAAACCATGAATTTTTTTTACTTACCAACTTACCAAATTATCGTATATGCCTTAATAATTTCTCCTGCTCCTTCATATCTTTTAACCAGTTGCTAAGAAATAAAATGTATGGAAACTTATAGAGAAAAAAAACTAAAACTGGAAAATCAAACCCTTTAAGAAAAAAGTTGTTTTTATTTGTTTAGACTGCCAGGACCTTTAATGCATTGATTTTACTTTTTTTTTATTGTGTATAAATATATAGTTCAGAGCCTACATAATACACTAGGTGCATTAGATAGTATTTATCATAAATATGGAGATAGAGATATATAAATGATAGGAATAGATGACAGATATCAAATATAAAGAGAGTATATGATGTAAGGCAGAAAATTTCGTAACTGTAGGCTTACAATATGGTAAGCGAATCAGGACCAACAACAATAACAGCAATTAGTTCATAGTACAAGCTAATATAATAAAATACTAAATTGTGCATGGCAGACTTTAAGTCAGGCATGCAAACTCCCCGCTCCAGCACCACTGTGGGGCCTGCCTCGCCCATGCAGATATCCACAGCTGGTTCCAGCTTTGCTCCCACTGGGTCCACAAAGTGGCCTCAGAAGCCCATCAGGCAGTCGTTATCAGATGATCTCAGGAGGTAGTCAAGAGGAACTCTATTTGCCAGCACTGCCCCAACAGGGATTATTTTAAAACACACGCACACACTCAGAGTAAATTGCCTACAATGGATGGAAATTCCAGTCTTCCCAGCTATGAGCGGAGGCATGGGGGCAGGAATGGTGAGAGCAGAGGGGAAATGTTGGGGGCTTAGCATCAGCACCGGGTGCACAGGACAGGAAGCTGGAGCTGGGAAAGCCATCAACATGCTAGAATTTAAACTCCAGGTAAAGCGGTGAATTTATTCATTCTATAACGTTTATTGTGGGCCTGCTACCCACCAGGCAGAAGTCCCAATTTTGATCCTACAAAGTTGTGGAGGGGAAGAAACATTGTAGCACTTGTGCAAGGCATGCAGTGTCTTTGGGTTTTAGTAACATGGCAGAGCTTTGTTAGTTTCTTGCGGCTGCCACAACAAAGTACCACAAATCGGGTAGCTTAAAACAACAGAAATCCATTACCTGGCAGTTCTGTAGCCTACATGTCTGAAATCAAGGTTTCAACAAGCCCATGCTCACCTCTGACACCTGTAGAAGACTCCCTCCTTGCCTCTTTCCAGCATCTGGTGGTTTGCTGGCAATCTTTGGCATTCCTGGGCTTGCGGCTACCTAAACCATCTCTGCCTTTGTGGTCACATGGTTTTCTCCCTATGCATCTCTGTCTTCACATGGACGTTTTATAATCTTAAAAGAAGCCATTCTTACTGGATTAGCAACCCATCCTACCCTAGCGTGACCTCATTTAACTAATCACACTGCAACAACCCCATTTCTAAATAGGGTCACGTTCAGAGGTACTGAGGGTTCGTAGGACTTCGACAATTAAATCTGTAACAGGAGCTAAAGTAGAAACCCTTTTACCTCTACCATTTTTAACACTCGGTGCAAAAACAAAGTAAGGGTAAGATATCAATTTAAAAAATGTCAGCCCCTAATGATCATCAGCCTCTGCTAAATAAGTCTAGGGACCATGTAGTCATCACCTTCTGAAACAGTTCTATCTGATTCCTCCTAATAGAGGGCCCAAACTTCCCACCTGTAATGATTCTGCAATGCGAGCTGGCAGGTGGCAGCTTTTCAGATATTTGAAGAAAAACGTTAGCATCCACATCGTTTCACCCGCCAAACATCCCCGCCTTTCATCCTTCATCCTAACACCACTCTACCCAAGGGATGAAGTGCAGCACGGCGTCAGGGAGAGAAAAACCTCCCACTTCAGAGTGGAAGTCAGTGCAGCTCCAGAGCAACGAGGACTCCGGAGAGCGCAGCTCCTCCTCAGTGTGGCGACTCAATGGCAGCGGCCCAGGAGGCCGTGCAGGGCGCCAGGGCTAATGCGAAAGTGTTCCCAGGCCCCTCGGCTACAGAGAAGATGGCCACACCAGGTGTGACAGGAATAAATTAGCTCTGTATAACAGAATTTTTTAATTTGTGTATTAGTTTTCTCTTGCTGCCTAACAAATCACAAACTTACTGGTTTAAAACAAAATGTGTCGATTAATTCTCAGTTTTTGTGGGTCAAGAGTCTGAGCATTTAGCTAGTTTCTCATCCTAAGCACTGCCCATACCTTAGGCCAGACCACTCTTTGCTTTGGGCTGTCCTGCAAATTGTAGGGTGTTCAGGGGCATCCTTGGCCTCAACCTACTAGATGCCAGTAGCACCACCTCCAGTTGTGACAACAAAAACAACCTCCAGACATTTCAAAAGGTCACCTAGGGGTCAAAAATCATCCCCAACTGAGAACCATTATACTATCTTTAGCATTTTGCAGAAACGCAGAAAATTCATAGCAGAAGTGTTAAAAAAAAACCCCACTGGGTAGAAATCAAGAAAATGTACCTGAAGTATTGGTATCACGCCACAGGTGCCACAATCCATGTCTCCATTTTCCTGTGTACACAAGCTGTGACTTCTTTATTTCCATATAATATACCAAAGTTGAATGAGTTGTCACTTCACATTTGTATGTGTATATACGACTGTCTCTCCACAGACCCACTCCATCACCAAAGCAAAGACCAAGGAGGGAAGTGAGAGCAGTTCGTAATCAAGCTCCTCTCCCCTCACTCATGCCCCCGCCTCCTCACCCAGCAACACCCACTCTCACCTACCAGCAGACAGCGCGTTCCTCACAACGAACCAGCTCCAGGGAGAGGTGTGTGCTATAGGCATGATTGAAGCTAAAATAAAAAGAACGCTGATACTAAACAGATGGGAATTTTTTAATGTTTTATCGATAGGCCATGATTCTTGCTGAATACATAATAGAGTACAATTAACAACACATTTAAAATTTAAACTTTTGGAATTACCTTGATCAATATGTAAAGCTTTAGTTTCTGAGAAAATAATGTTTCAATAATATTTATCTCATATGCAAAACAGCTTCTCAAAATAGGGGATTTATGAGCACTATTTCGTAAACCTTCCTGTATACAAAAGACATTGACTCTACCACATCAACTGCACCCAACTAAAAATCCAAAACATAAAAGCTTGAAGGACCAGGGTAGAGCCATATTTTATTGAAGCTATCAAAGGTAAATCTCAAAGATCTACAAATGGAACACAGAACGGCCTTTTACCACGGATTCAATATGTTGGTCAGAAGAGTGGTAAATTGTGGCCTCATGACTTGAGAAAGAATTATTCTTAAACATGTAGCTACATATATCAGTATCACCCCTATTACAGAGACACAGACACCCACTGTCAGCAGCCTTTGGCCTGAGAAACTCAAACATCACTTAAGAAATATCTACTTTCCTCTGTTAGAATCATAATCGGAGTCGAAATGGCAACACTTTATGAAATGACGCCATGGAGCACTGTTGTCTGGTGAGGCACCTGGAACACAACAGACTGGCTAGCAATAATTTGAAAATAAGCCTACTCCCACTGATGCATACTTAATTAAAAACATGTATTTACTATTCAGTTTCCTGAAGTCACCTACCAGACTTCTATTCAATGTTGTGACAAAAATAATTGCACCTCAAATTACTCCCAATGTGACTTATTTAATGTTAACATGAATATCATCTGAATAGAAGATAGAAAAATTTTAAGTTTTACAAATGCTATGTTTTACTATAATTTGAAAACAAAGAATAATGAGGAATATGCTCTTCTATTTAACAGAAGCTTCTATTTAGAGAATATAAAAATTCTAAAGCTTAATCAAGAGTGAGTCCACTTACTATAAGTGTCTCGGATTTACAATATGCAAGAAAAATGATGCATCCAATAATAAATATACGATGGCACCTGGATTTATAGTAGACACTTGGCAAACTCAAAAGATGTGTCATCCCTATGTTAAGAAACCTTGTCAAGGAGCTATTTATAGCATAGTTTTACAGAAATTAATATTAAACTTCAATAAATCAAATTATAAAAATTTGGAACTATGATTTTATTTGTAAGGCTATTACAAAGACGATTAATATGCCGACATGTTAAAATACGACGGATTCTTTTAAAAGTGGCAAAGAAAAAAATCATAGCTCCAATTTTTTAAAAATGTCATAAGACAGCCAGAAATGTCTAATGAAATAAATCAATGACATCAAAATAAAGATAATAGGTGTTATATTGCCAGACTATTTATAACTATATTTGACATAAACAAAAATTAGGGTTAAGTATAACTTTAAAAAATAACTATATGCAGGCTGAAAAGGATGGGAGCAGGGAAAATTATGCTATCTACAATTCCGAAAATGTGTGCATGTAGGATATAGTATTGCATATAAGTAACAAACTGTTAGGCAATATTATAGCTATATATCTGGATTTTATATTAGCACAATGCTCCTCAAATTTTACTATAATCAAGATAGTAAACCAAAGATATTGTTGTTAGAACATATGGAAAACATAAAGCATAAGAGGACAATAAAAGGAAATATTTCATTGACCCTGAATATTTTAATAAGCTTTAACTCTTTTTCAGAATTGTATCTGAAGGTAGTAAGATAGTGAAACCAGATATAAAAGCATTGTTCTGTTCTTGAATTGTTTGGCCACTAGTTTTCCCAGCATTCAGTCTCTGGAACCACTGTCCACTCAAAACAAAGTGACGTATGCTAATGTCTTAATAAGGTTCCCTGTCAGTGGGGGAAGAGGGGCCTTTATATTGGTTCCTATCAATAAATGAAATTGATGGCATTCTGAACAGAAGAGTTTCAGCATAAGGTAAAATGAGTTTTTATTACTCATAGCACGTGAAGAAAATAATCTATACTACCAATTTTCACTACTACATGTCCTCCTTTTCTCCTATTTTGGTGGCTTTTTAGGGACTTTTCATCCAAACCCACGATGTGTAGCAAGCTGGCAAGTTCTCTAAGACATGGAGGAGGAAGAGGACCAGGCCTCTCCGCCACAGCCCCAAGTACCATGAGGCAGAGCTAACCGGCCCTTTCTCCTCTTTTTCCCCTTCCCCCCTCCACCTCCTTTTTAATAAATTTATAATAAAAAGAGATGAGTTACAAGATGAGTTTTTCACCTGAAAATCTGAAGAACTTCACAAAAATGTGATAGAGTCCTGGTTTTTAAATGAGAAAATAGGGTCTAAAAAAGATTCCATTCCAGTGTTTCCTAGTCTACTACAGTAAAAGGTCTGTATAAATTACCTACTGAAGGTTATAAGGTCCTGAGAGTCAGCATGAGGCTCCCTGGGCAGGGCGGGTGCGGAGGCATCTCTGCAAACACCCCATCACCTGCTTCGCTGTAAGTTACTCTCATTTCTCAGAAAGCCCTGGGGTGTGAAGGCCAAAAACACCACACAGAGGCCCAAACATAAGTGCTTATTTTAGATCAGAGTGGTTCCAAGGTGTGTGACAGAACTTTTCCCCACTTGAAAAAAATGCAAAAAAGTATTTGTTTGATATTTAACTTTCTCTCCACAGACCATGTGTGAGAATCTTTTTTCCATACAGAGATTTCAAGCTTTAAAACACTGAATGCTGGTGATTTCTTCTTTGGTATCCAAAATGTTCATAAGCAATGACATGAATATCCACTGCATTGTAATTTCTTAAAATCACTAAAAATAAAATTCTTTTTAAAAGATACATTTGTATACTTTGGTAGATTTGTTTTTAAAAAGTTGAAAATATTGTCATGTAGGCTCCTTGGAGCCCACAGCAATCATTTTTCCCACATCCCCTTGAGAGGTATGCTGTGGAGTTAGGGAGTAAGATTAAAGTATTCTTAGACTTGGTAAAAGATCTTTGTTTTTGATGTTTCTAGTATGTTTTAACCTATTTAGAAGGGAATGTAGAAAGGAAGAAAAGAAAGGAAGGAAGACAGAAGGAAGAAATAGAGAAAAATGAGAAAAGAAAAAACAAAGGAATTTTCCTTTACAATGTTCACCCAGATAAATGAATATTATCCTTCAGAATGCAGGGTAAACAATGATTCAGACACTCAAAGTTCAGGACCTTCTTAAAGATTCGCAATGAGCATTAGACGTCCAGTGAGATTCACTGGACAGCTGGCGGTCTGACACCCAGACACCTGAGCCCAAAAGAGCTGCCCAGGACCCCAGGGCATGCCCTGTGGTACTTCAGCCCCAGCCATCACGTCAAGACCCTCTGGTCCCCATAAAACCTCAGCTTCTTTCTCAGACCAGAGAGGTCAGTCTGCTGTGTCTTATATAGGATTTTGTGATCCCCCTGGCTTATCATCCCCATTACTAGCAAAGTTGTGCCTCCTGGTCCAAGATCTTCTAGTCTAAGTCACATAAGGCACATATTGCAATGCATTCCAACCCTCCCCCTGAAACAGAGCCCAAGTGTGGAGCTGAGGAAGTGAGGAGAGCAGCACACCCAGGGCCCCTTTAAGGCAGTTTTCTGTACAGGCCTTAAGCTCCAAACCCACCAGCAAAGGACAGGAAAACACATTCCCTCTCTCATTCTTCTTTCCAGAAGAAAAATAGAGGAAAAGTAAAGGTATGTGGTTTCACGTGGAATGGAAAACCACCATTTTGCTTAAAAAAAATCACCACCTACCTTCTAAAGAGAGGGATGTGATATTCAATTACAAAGGGCACACGAAGACCACTGTGGGTGGGGGAGTGGACAGTAAGGTTAAGGTGGATGTGGAAAGGGAACAGAGCAAGCTCCTCATTCGGGTTTCCTTCTCCCGAGTCCTAGGAAATTTGTCTTTAATACTTTAAAATGGACTCAGAGCTGCCATCCCAGGGGACTGCCCTGCAAGTCTGATGCCTCAAATCTTTGGAATGTTAAAACAGGGCAAAATAACCTTCAGACTGGGCCTAAAGCAACACTGGGTCTATAAGGACAACCAGAAAGCAGCTCTTATGACTACCAGACTCATGGCCTACTGGACTGAAAACTTAAAAACATAGAATTAACATCACTATGTTAGCTATCGGCATCAATAGACGTGCCTTCTTTCTAGTGATGTCATTGTTTTCCTTTCCTTTCTCAAAAATATCTCTTGTCACTGCCTCCTAATCCAAACACTATTTGGGCTTCTGCCTGAATCTGTGCTTTCCAAATAACTATTCTTTTTGATCTCAAATAAATGCTTATGCCTCTCACTTTGGCCTTTTATTTTTGAGTTATCAATATTAAAGAAAAGACTGATGTTTAATAATGTTTAGGAACCTCATTTCTTCTGGAAATGAAAAGAATAATGTATCTAAACTAACACATTTATTCTGGAGAAACCAACACCTCCCCAAAAAACTCTAAAATATTTTAAGAGGGAAAAATAAAGCTATACAACTGCAATGATTCTGAATTTTGTTCCACACAGAAGTCAGGAGAAAAATCTATGCAGACATACATACTAGGACCTATTGTACACCATCCCCATCAACCTCATAAAAAGAAAAAAATTGTTTTTCAAAACAGAAGCAATATTTGGTTATGAAAATAAGACAATCACGTGTGACTTCTGGAAATGTGTTACATGGAGTCCTTAAAACGGGAATCACAGCCGATGCTGCAGAGAGAACAGAAGCAGGGAACAGGAGACGAAAAGGACTGACGAGTGAGGAAGGGAGGCCGATGCTCCATTCCCGCAGTGACCGCAGCTGTGGGAGTCTCCGCAGAGGTCACAGGAGGACAGCTGCGCCTCGGAGTTGTAACTTCTCACCGCTCGCCGCCCTGTTCAGAGACGGAGATCAGTGTACACATCTCCCTTGTTCAGAAACCTTCGCTTTGCCAAAACTTAAAAGCATTTCAGTACACTTTTCTGAGTTTTCCATTCTCCATATAATTTTATTTTTCTTTACAAGAAACAACTGAAACGCTCCAAGGGGCCCCAACTACTAACCAAATCCAAGAGAGAAACAATGCGTTCAGTCCGATCTATCCCCCACCCGCAGTTGGCCGGCGCGGAAAGAGGGAAAATAGCCTGCAGCTGCGCGCTTCGAGGGCGGGCACAGCGAGAGCGTGGACCGCGGGAGATTTTAAATTGAGGGTTGTTTCGCCTCCTCAAGGGCTTGTTTCAGGGTGACGTTTCCTACGCATTCAAGTAAGGTTCTGATCATTAGAACTACTGAAAAGAGAGATATTTGTATTGTATGCTGTAATTGGAAAATAAATTAATGTCTTCAAAAAGAGATATTTACCATGGGCTTTATTTTAACATACAAAAATATGAAGAAAACTCTGTTTATGCAATGTGTTGTTTCAAGGCTTTAAAAGAGCAATTTTCAACTGTTGGGCTGCAAGAGTTTATAAAGCATGCAATACCTGACTATTTAGTCAGGGGCACTGACCGCTCTTCCCTTTGACTGTCAAATGAAAAAATAATGACAACAACCAACACAGCAATAGCCCTCCAATGTGAAGGAAACAAAATTACCCCTCTATTTTTGGTCAGATGGGCAAAAAGTATATTTTTCATGTGCTGCAGAATTTTTGTAATTAGTTTATGTGTGCCATGATATCAAAAACATTGAAAATCGTTGCTTTAAAACATTAAGTACCCACTATTAATTGTAAATAAATTTTTAGAGAATAAAATAAATTGAGCATATAATCTCTAAAAACTATTCAGTTTTAGTAAATTTTCTTAGATAAGCCAATATGAAAAAACTATACGAAGCACTTATAACTCTATAATAAACCTACTATAAAACAAGTGATTTTAATTTTTACATTTTTAAAAATTCTGTACTCAAATTTCTTCATGAGTTTTCAATGTTGTAATGTTATAAATATGTTTTTTAACTTTGGAATTTTTAAAAAATGGGTTGTTAGATTTTATTATTCTGATCTTCCTCAAATGTTCATTTTAAAATGTGTCCCTCATAAATAAGTTGTTTTCCACAAAAGATTTACATACACTGAACCTTTTTTTTGTTTCTTAAACATTTAAAATGTTCTCCATATACCTAAAAACATCAACTGGAGAATTCTGCAACTAGGTTAAATAACCAGGTTGGTAACCAGGTACTCTCCTGAGTCTCCACAGTATATCCCACCCTTCCTAAACCAGGAAAAAAAAACATCATCAGTGTTTCCCCCAAATGTCCCACAAGAACCAGACTGAATGCTCTTCCCAATTCCACCAGGAGACAAAAGAGGAGAGAAACTGGCTTGTTGATTTAGGAGAGGGAACTGGCACTACACCTTAATTTTAAAAGAATACTCGGTCGGAAACTATCGTATTTGGGGAACTGTAAGATGCACTCCCCCCCCCAAATTTGGAAGGAAACAGGGGTTCATCTTATAGTCCAAATGTAGCTCACCTGGCTCACTGGGGCAGGGGTGGAGGGGTGGCGGTGGAGCCAGGTCACAGGTTATTAAATATTTTACCACATTTTTTTTGCTTCAAAATTTTTTTTCCTATTTTCCTCCTCTAAAACCTAGGTGTGTCTTATAGTCCTAAAAATACAGTACTAATAATGTCAACAATATCCTATTTTAAAGTGCAATGTCTACAACTACCTAACGTACACAAAAAAGCTCATGATTCTTGTGCATTCTGATGATTTTAAGCCACCAGGAATGTTTTTCAGGGTAAGTCTTATTACAGGGTGAAATATCAGCCTGGAGGTCACACAGCCACAAAAAGTCACTGCGACTGAATATAGACTCACCCTCATTAATTAGATGATCTCCAAATCAGATCTCTACTTTCACATCGTATACTTCCAACATTTCATAAAGTAAGAAGTTACCAGTAAAATTAGAGAAGATGTTCATGTCCTGTCCTGAAGAAGCCCCAGTTTAAAACAAAAGCCAGGCAGAATGGGTGCCTGGAATAGGGGCAAAACCTTGGAAACTAAACATAACTGGACTCTCTATGTCATTTTTCTTTGTAAATTTTGGAATTGTGAGTTGAAAACCTAAAACATTATGAGCAAAAGCATGACTTTTTAAAAACCTATGCTAAATGCTCTCATGTGACCTTTGTAAATGATCAGTTGTCTTCATTTAAATAGAGAGCTTGCCTTCTGCTCCGCCACCTCCTAGACTTCCCCCAATAATATGCCCCCAACGCAAAAACCAATGCAGTTGGTCACCTCTTTGAATGAATGAATGAGTGAATGAATGCCTGGCTTAACTCCTAAAGTAATAGAAGCTTCAAAACACACTTACTTGGTTCATAGTAATCCACTATGGACACAGAAGCATCTTGTGTATTTGAAACTTTAAAGTTTCTCACAGCAGGAATATCGACACAAAATTGGGTTTCATTTACCTTGAAAAATACAAAAGACCTTTAAGGAAGTGGCAGACTATGTGTTCATGAGAAACTAAAACTTATCATTTTAGGAAACAGATATAGAAACTAACATTTAGGTAGCACCTCTACATGCCCCATACTGTAGTAAGCACTTTATATAAATTATCTCATTTAACTCATAAAACTATCCTTACTGGGCAGGCATTGTTCCTACTTCATCTTACTGAAAGGGACAGATACTGAGTGGTCAAGTAAGGAACAAGCCCCCGGGTGCATGCTCCTGGGCCTAGTGCCCCGCCCAGATCCCCTGCCTCGGGCAGTGCACCTGCGGCCACTGCTGCGGACGGCTCCCAGCACCCCCTTCACCAGAGAATTGCCCTCAGCTCATAGGAGCCACTTCTCCCAGTAAGTGAGGTGAACCCAGGGTGGACAGGTGCACCCCACAACCAATAACTGACTGAATTGAAGTACAAAAGGCCAGCCTCCTTGCCTCTAGGAGAAGCAGCTTATACCACTCTGGCAAAAAGACTAATTGAGGAATCTGAAACCGATAAATTCCTTCTAGAATTCCATCATGCATCAATAAGCAGTAAATGAAAATACAAATAAATCTGTTGAAACATAATGGACATTCAAATTAAGATAACTGTTCACAAGAACAGCACAGGTACAGGACAAACTCCAAAACCAATTACATTATTAAATAAAAACCTTAAACTCGTTTTTCAAGTTCCAAATCAGTCCTGTGGCTTTCAAGCAGTATTTAACATATGAAAATTACTGGCGAGCAAAAGAATTCTAGAGATCCTGAATTAATTTTAACAGGTTTTTAACCAGACTGATTTTTGAAGCCTTAAAACAATGAGAACATTCAGGAACTAGCTTTTTAAAAGTAGATATATTCCTAAAGCAATATTTCTGTTTCAAACTTGGCAAAACTGGATGGAATACAAAACATACATATTCCCCACATGTAACACAAAATCCTAAGAACACTTAGAACTCAGTTTCAATTCAACCTATGGATTTCACAGAGAAATTAGAAGAAAAGAGTAAACTTATACACCAGCAGGTCTGAGATAGATATAACAAGTCTTGAATTCTTTTGCTTACATTATTCTCACATATTTTATGTACCTTATTCTTGGGTCAGTAATTTTCATATTGCAATGGGATGTATGAAAATTATATAATAATTATGTGTAAAGACCAAAGGTCTAAAAATATTCTTCTATGATTTAAGCACATAACTTCAATGTAGGAATAGTAACCTACTTGGAATTTATTTAGAGCTTCATAAAAGCATTTTAAAACATGTAATTAAAGCTTTCATCATGAGTATTTAAACAAATATGTCGAGCAAGTCCCTGAGGTGGGGGAAGGCTTCTCCAATAGAGAACTAAATTTAATTTTTAAAACTCTAGGACGGCAGTTTCTGTATATGTTATATCTGGCATAAAATAATAATTTGGTTACCAAGACTTTCACTGGGGTCATCATTAATAGTAATTATTTTTAAACTAATTTTATAACAATGTCTTATTAGTGAGGACAAACACATGGTTGCCACTCAGAGACACAAAAAGCTGAAACAATGAATCAAAGAAAACATGTGGCAAGTAAGGGAGGCTTCAAACACAACAAATGGTAGCTTTGTCCGGGGCCACCTGCGTGCAACTCAGGTTTGCTACTTACAGAATCCAGGTACAGGCTGAGTTTCCCCTGGTCGTGCTCCACCTTCCTCACCATCTCGCTCAGGGGGACCGTGCCCGAAGGCACAGTGAAGCCGCTGAGGAGGTTCACTTCCATGAGGGCCATGCCGCTTCGCTCTGGGCCCAAAAACCTGAACCAAAGGGACAGAATGGAAGAAAAAATGGAATCTGTTGGCAAATTATCTTCATAGAAAAATGAAAACGGCCAGGTGTCATTCCAAATATTACCATTTTGTTAAAATATGTAAAAGTGTCTACAGAAACTGTAAAACAGGTAATCCTTCCCTTCCAGGTGTGAAAGTCTTGGAACTCTCAGCAGCAGGAGGACTAATGACATTACCCTGTGCTCACCTGAAGGACGGTATGAAATGCCTGTGTGTAACAGGCTGTGCCTGTGGGCCGTGCCAGGCACAGCCTGGGCGCCTGTTCAGCAGGCAGCTCTGTTTTCTAGTGGTGGTTCCAAACTGAATCTCACATTTCCCTTTCTCAAACGCTGACGGCCCCAAAGGTTCCAGCTGAAAGCCAGGAACCGAAACAGAGGCATCACTTGACCACTTAGCAGCAGACCCCGGCCAAGTCTTTAGCAACCTTTTCTTCATCTGGCTTTAGAAAAAGAGGGTGAGTCCTTCCCTTTGTTCTCCCGCATACTCAGAGCACATCTGGTGTTTTCTTTGGCCACTTTGAGAGAATGACAAGCCTCGGAAAATTTTATCACACTGCATAGTCCTCTCACCCTGTTGTATACAATGTGAGCATCAAAGCACCTGGGCACCAACAGCATTCTGTCCCCTTTAAAATAAATATTTTTCTAAAATGAATAGCTGGCAAGAGCTTTCTGTTTGGAGCAGGAAGAGCCAAGCGTGGTTATGGAAAGGAGTCTGACTCCAGTGGGAAAGGATCAAACTCTGGGAAGTTAGTTCCATTGTCCTTTCGCACAGTGAACCCAGCAGGGCTGCTAGAAAATCCTGCTTTTCAGAGCAGGGAACCCACACCTGCCGAACATGACCGATGGAGAAGCCACCGGCGCAACTGCTCACTGCCTGTCCCAACCGTACAGTCTCTCGATTCGAGAACTTTCTAAAGGAGTTGCTCTCAGCTTTGTGTGTGTGAGCAAATGACCAGGAAAGCTGAGGAAGGCAGCTTTGCAGGCCCCGCTTCTCTCACATCAGCAGGTTCAAGGTGCATCCCTTTTCCTTACGACTCAACAACACCCTCAGAGGCTTTGGACACAAACCAAATTTACCTCAGTGAGCGCTCCCAGCAGCTGTGAGCACCCTGTTATCCAAGGTGTGGATCTTCTACACTGGAATATTTTCACTATGTCTAAAAAACTACTCTCTTCATTGAATTTGCCTGCTCTTCTGAAGTGTTGAATTAAAAGTATAACTAAAGAAAACTAACAAGAAACACCAATTTGGATGTATTAAACATGATTGGTTAATTTCCAGTTTTCATCAATTAGACCTTAGTTTTATTAATTTTTTCTATACAAATTTGTTATGAATACATAGAAAACTTGTAAATAATTTTGGACACAATGAGACATTCTTAAATATAATTAGTAGTTCATGTATTTCCAGTCTATAATCTATAGTGTAATGCAAGAGGGTATGAAGTGATAAATGGTAATAAAAAAACAATACAAAGTAAAGTAAAAAAAAGTGTAATGCATAACTGAAATCTTTGTTAAATGTAACTCTTTACATATTGATAAAGTTAGATAAATATAAACAATTAAATCTACAAATCTTATATTTAAAAGGGAAAGAGGAGGAGGGGAGACTTAAATAGATACCCACCTTGTACACACATTCAAATTCAAGTGGTTGATATCATCTTTGTTATCTTTTACAGCAACATCTAAATCAAAGGCCTCTTGATTTGGGGCAGATCTTCGTCTTCTGGAAGACTCCGAATTTTTCACATTATAAATAACATTTAGCTGCAAAATGACAAGTTAGCATAAATAATAAATTAGCAATAAATTATTAGCAATACATTGCCATCATTATGTATTCTAAGTGTTAAGAATTCTCAACTACATTCACAACCTCCAACCTAGAAAAATATTCGTTTTACTAGTTAATGAAGTATCACTATTAACAAGCAATGTTATAAAAGTTCACGAAAAATGATTTTTTAAATTGAGAAAATAGTTAGGGAACATTCCAAAACTGATGTCACAGACTATCATGAATGATATTCATGGGTATGTTTTTTTTTTCAAAAACATAAAACATTCCATAGAGGGGAAAAGCAAAACTACTGCCAACTTTCTTGAGAGTATCCACTAATTTTTAAGCTCTGCTGCCCATCTGAAGTCATTTTTCACAAACTGGAAAGTTAAGAAATTCTAAGATAAGTCAAAACTAAAACAGCTAAGAGCCTCAGCTGAGCAGAAACCTGTTCAACTGCTAAGGATTCTTTTTGATCACACAACGTTTTTCTTTTTTTGTTCTCTCTTTTAATGGTTTTATTTATTTATTTATCCATTTATCCATTTATTTATTTACTTACTTACTTACTTACTTATTTTTAGAAAGGGAAAGGGAGGGTGAGAGAGAGTGAGAAAAATGTCAATATGCAGTTGCCTCTCAAGTGCCCCCCACTTGGGACCTGACATGCAAACCAAGCATATACCCTGACTTGGCATCAAACCAGTGACCCTTTGGTCAATTCACTGACCCACACCAGCCAGGATTAATCACACAACATTTTTCAAAGGTGATAAATTAAATGATGGTTATCAAGTCAACTGGATCTTTTTCAGCATATATATTCTCTGTGTCCGTGAACACCAATGGAGTGTGAGCACCCTTTTCCTCAAAGGGATCCTAGGATCAGAAGCTTGGGAATATATTCAAAATTTTCCAGGCATACCTCATGTCAAGTTGAACTGGAATCTAAATTTTTTACCTCTTCCACTTTTTTTGATGCCAAGGTTCATGAGACTTCTTCCCATTGTGTATTTTTTTTACTTATATTTAAATCTCACACACACACACACACACACACACACACACACACACAACTAAATCTCTAGTACCCATTGTGAATTTACTCGTTTTTTTAAAACCAAATTTTAAAACCAAATTTTGGTTGCTTTCTCAGCAGGCTGACAGCCCGAGGGTGCAGAGAGTTTTCTTTGCCCTTCTTTGTCCAGGGCACTTACAAAAATACCAACTAAGGGAAATCTCCATACCTATCGCTGGGTGACCCACCTTTTGCAATGTTTTTCTCCATCGCAAGAAGTACCTCTGGTCCCTACCTTTTGTTTTCTGCACGTTGATACTGACATTGGACTGACAAACATTCTGACCAGTAGGTGCCATATTTACTGCTGTGCCCTTCGAATCTCAAGTAAAAATCATTTGGCTTCAGTAATTTATCTACATTTAGTTTGTCAAGAATGAATTTCAACCAATTTGGTGGCTTAAGTATACATATACAATTTTTCAATTGTATCTAAAATATTCTGTGTTTTGCTTTTAGATTTACCGTTTGCATTGAAATATAGGTTAATGGAGACAACTGTACTTGAACAATAATAAAAAAAGTGGAAAAAAAGAAATATAGTTTAAGAATGAGAATTTTCACATGGTCTTTTTCAGTAAAGACCAATACAAATTAGTTACTCTTTTCTCTTTCAATCTTTTTCATTGAATACCATTCCTTTTAACTGTGATTATTTTCCCTTGATTTAAAAAAAATTCACTTGTTCTAAGTATTAGAAAAATCATCTTAAAATTCTTTGGAAGTTCCCAAATTATACCCGACCTTCCACCCTACTTACTAAGTATACCGGTTCCCTTGTCTAGAATAGTTGTTCTGATTTTTTAAAAAGTAGCTCTTGTCTATAATAGTTACTTTTTAATTTTCTCAGTAATTCTTTCAGGGTTTGCTTGGTTTGTGTTTTTCTAATCAAACACAGAATCATTTTTGGTCCTATCACATATTATGTTAAATTTCTACTAAGATTTTCAGTCCCTATGATTTTCATATATTATTTAGTATAATAATTATTTCATTCAATATTTTCACACTACTTCCATTTTATTCTAACCCCTACTGTACCATAAAAGGTAGATTTCTTTGGATTTTCCTCCTATACCAGAGCATAAAAAATGCCCTGCCCTAATGGTTTCACTTGCTATTATAGAAGATTTTACATTAAAAGACACATTTCCTATATTAAGATCAATGACTTGTAACACTATGTTGACCTTTATATCATTAGATGAATATTAAGTTGTAAGTAAAATGCATATTTGTTTCATTTTATCTTGATGCAATACTATGCATCATAGTATTTTAATTATGAGCTGAATTTTGATAAAACAAAGTGGAAGTGCACAAGAATTCACATTAATAATATTAGGGAATTTTAATCCTCACTTCAGAAAGCACATAATAGCCAAGAAATATTTTTCCAATAGATTATCCATCCACAGAGTTGCTGCCCACTCACCAGCTAATCACAGCTCTAATACCTTTTATTTAAAAGAGTGATTTATCTGGCCTAAGTCACAGAAATAATTCATTAAGGATTTTATACATTGTCTAGGTTGAAGATTTAGCACTGACCCAAACCAAAGAATTGTTATACCAAGTCATATTTAGCTAAACAAAACCTAACATTATTACATACCTGACAAACAGCAAATCCAAAACCATTTGCAGAAATATTAACTTCAGTTGGCTCTACCGCAGCAAGCTGAATAAAGGTGGGAGGGAAAAGTGAATGAGGCTAATTTTCCATCTCTAGGCCCTTCTGGGTAGCACAGGAGAGCAGTCATCCCTCATCAGGAGTGTAAGCCATCTGTAGAAAGTTCTAAAAACTTTACGTGGCCTCCCCTGCCCAAAGCTGTGGGTCAACCACCTTAGAGGGGAAGGCAGAGCAAGTGAGCACTCCCCACACGCCCTCCTGCCCCCTAGGAAGGAAAGTCAATGCCATGGACAGGACTGCCTTCCATAGGGGCCGATGCATGAAAGACAGGAGCCAGTCATCTCTCTCTGCTAACCTCCCTTAGCTGGGGCCTAATCCCCCCAGACCTTGCCGAGAACACAGTGACACATCATCGGTGCCTGTGATTAAGTTTATTCCTTCTTTTTCCTTTCTCATAACTCCATTTCCAGTCTTGAAATTATCACTTTCATCCCTTACCCTCAAGCTCCCACAAGGTTACCCAGGAGGATAAAGTTAGGGTCTAGCATAGACTCTTTACTTCATTTCAAAGGAAGAATTCTACTACTGATTTTATCAATTCTCCAATGAAGACGTGTGGTGAGCTGAAAAGAATGTGGTCTTTGCAACCATGGATCAAATCACAGCGCTGCTGTTACCCATAACAGGATGCTGAGCAAGTCACTTAAATTCTCTCTCAGCCTCAGTTTTATCATGTGTACAATGGGAATGAAAGTACTTACTCCTTAGTGTTGGGTTTGACAAGTAAATGCAATAGCACATGTAAAGAAATTTAGCACAGTGCCTGCAAAGAACAGGAACTCAACCAGTGTTCGCAGTTCTCCCAATATGACAGTGCCCACGTTTTCTCCTTTTTCAAAGTTCCCATCCCCTCCTCCCTTCCTCAGCTCAGCAATCAACCAGAGGCATGTACTCCTTCCTCCCAATCTCTCCACTGGGCTCTGGCAACAAATCTTTGTTGAGGTCAACAAAACAGAAATAAAGCAGTTTTCCAGCATTACGGAATCATCTACGAATTTCAAATAACCACCCCTTGCCCACACCTCTGCCGTCTGGAGGACAAAGCGGTTCTGTGCATCAATCAGAAACTTCACAGGACTCTGTGAACTGGACCCTGTCACGGTTACTTGGATATTTGTCCTTTCTGTGTTCATTAAGGCTGCAAATTCGGACAGGGCCTTCAAGGCCACAATGGTGTCCTGTAGAGGAAAGAAAAACATTTGTGCGTATGAGTGTATACCAAGGTCTCCAAAGAGCAGAGTCAGTGATGTATAGGAGCCCACTATACATTCATCTACCTTCCTTCAGAGAGGAACTCTCCTTTACTCATATTTGAATCGCTTTGACCTAGAGTATAGGAGAGGCTCAGAAAATATCTGCTGGATGGAACTGACCATCTACGACATCAGTTATCACAGATGAAGAAATGGCTGACATAGATGAGGAACAAATGTACTCCATGTAAATATCAGATATGACATAAACATGTTAAGAAAAAACTAAAATCAGTAACTTAAAACTTTGACTTAAGTTACTAAAGTTTTACACTGCCAAGTAATTTTATAAAGTCATGAAAAAAAGCAACCACATACTTCTTAAAACTACAGAGAAATGGATAATAAATTTAAAACTATCATCACTCGCCTGCGTAGATGCAAAACCTCCCAAGTTGTTCCTCTGCCCGCTCAGCCACCTCATGATGGGGATGCCCTCCGCAACCTGCCGCTGCAGGAAGTGGGAGAGCAACGCGTAGGCGGCAACCTCGATGTCCAGGGAGCTCGGCTGCCAGGACTCAGAAAGTCCGGACACTGACGATACCCAGAACTGCATGCCTCCTGCGAGAGGGTGGTAATGACAGTCTGAGCAATTACAGAAAAATGACGTTTTATACCATTAAAGTTGGTCCAAGTTTTGCTTGACTAACATAAAAATAGGTATATTTCTATGTATGTATATATCTATGCCAAGCAAAAGTATATGTATTTCAACACATGCATATAAACATGTACTTATACGTCACTTTTTAAACTATAAAGCTTACAAATTTCCATCCTTTTCCTATTGCTTATATGTGAAGATGTTTTGATGAAAATATTTCTGCAAAAGAAATTCCATATGTTTGGCTCAAGACTAAACAGCTATAAATAAAAGACAAGACATACTATACTCCAGAAGATAATGTACATAACTTTTCTGACCGGGCCATCCCCAAAATATTTTAGAATACATTGGCAAGAACCCTGTTCTGGGGATCTGCCATTCACCAGTGCTAATGTTCTGGGAAACCTCTCCTTTTTCATTATTTGAAAGTTGGTGTTATAAGTTCAAAATCCAAGCCCCCAAGAAAAAAACGAGGGACCCTGGCCAACTCAACAATCTTCCCGAGATATTCCTACTAGCCCCCAGAAGCATATCTTATTTGGTGCCTTCCCCCTGCAAACACTACTATTTAGATGATGATCACATGTAGTGGAATGTGTAATAACTGCCACCGAGCCAAGTAGAGAAGAAGAAATGTCAAGGAGCGCTCCAGCTTGGACGCAATGATTTTCTAGTCCCTAGCACAACAATAGGTAATAAGGATTCGATCTAACTTACTGCTAATAATAATACATTATTTTTTTTACAGTCTCAGAAGTCTAAAGTTACCCCTTCTTGAATTAACAGGACTTTGAATTGGTGGACATTACCTACAATTATTTCAGCCCATTCATCCCCATATCTATCTATCTATCTATCTATCTATCTATCTATCAACTATCTACTATAGGGTAGATACACTCAAGTATCTATCTATGCACACACACACACCCTGAATCCCTGACTATAGAGGTCATTTGGGAAGTGACAATATTTGTACCTTTGTCCTGCTGTAGCCCCTAAGCAGCCCCCAATCAAAACATATCATACACATTAATTTACTAACAGCCTTTTTGGCACTTGCATTTTTATTAACTGGCATTTTAGCAAGCACTGTGCATTATCTCCTTTACTCCCCACGGCAACCCCAAAATTGGTCCTATTCCAATGTTATGATTCAGGAAACTGAAGCTCATGAAGAAAAGTAAGCTTAGTCAGAATCTGAACCCGGGTCTCTCACAAACCAAAGTCCACTCAAGGCCACCAAACCATAACTGGTGTAGAGAACTCAAAAGATAACTACTGACATCTGGCAGAAAATATCTAAAAGAAGAAAAGAGTCAAGCCTCGAAATTCTCTAGCAAACTCCTGGGGGCAGTAGCGTGGCCACATCATACCCATGTGATCCCATCTGTGCTTCCTTTTTCATCCTGTTTAGAAACTGTAAATGCCATCAAGCTCCTAGCTGGCTTCCACAGTTTCTCACCTAATTTATAAATCTTACAGTGCACGACAGTCTCACAGCCCCAGACAGGACAAGACCACGTGTTACCTTCTTGCTCTGCTCTCCCCGTCAGCAGGTGCAAAGCCTCCTTGGCTGTGGGGCTCGCCACGAGTGACAGCGCATAGGTTACAAGAGCCAGGGTGTAATTGTCTGAGATTCCTCTGTTGAATTCAGACTCCAAAAAGTCGACAGACTCTTGCACATCAAGATAAGGCTTAAAAGAAAAAATATTTACCATTCAAAATAGCCCCCCAAAAAGTATTGTCAAGCACTTATTCAACTTTGTCCTAGGCAATGGGAATCAACAATGATCATAGACATTTACAGATTTGCTGTGTGTTTTGAAAATAACACTGCCTTTTAGCTTCTACAAGTAAAAAAGGCACCATTACTTATAGGAAATAAAAAGTAGAATTTTTGCCAGTGTTTCTCCCACTGAATATCACAAACTCAGGTGAAAGCATCAAATATAGCTTAAGAAATATATTTCTCATATCTAACCTCAGGTGTTGAAGCTCTAAATTCAGAGGAACATTTATCTTTCACATGCCTAGTATGGGACTAGGAAAACAGCAGGAGTTTAATATACACAATGGCTGGTTTGGATCATGTGAAATGCAGCCGGCATTAAGCAGTAAGGCATCAATCACCAAGACAGCTCTGGAGCAAAATTAAGCTCATTAGCATAACTTTCCATGTACACTCACTCTCATCCAGACATCCGTGCCCATGTACCACACTTCACTTCTTTAGAGTGTGGGTGTACTTTGTATTAAATTAGCAGACACGGTAACTGCTCCATGAAATTTTAGAAATTAAAAAAACTTTTGCCACCTAAATTTGCTAGAATGCACTCCCAAATTCTGAGGAATTGTCTGTTCCCCAAGAAATTAACCTTTCCAATGACAAATTACATATTGACTTATCATACCCACAGCAAGTACAACATTTTTTATTGGAAAGTATTTCTAGGATTCTCTTAGTTACTCTGAGACAGTGGGTCAATACTTTGATTCTCAGATTTTGGAATGTGGCCACAAATGCAAAGCAAATGGGGGCCCAAGTTCAGACTTTGAGTGTGATATAAAATTATGAAACTATTCAAGTTTCCAGACACATATTTGATCCATCGAAACCTACATTTATGATTTCCCACCCATCATTTATGAAGTTAAAGATTAAATACCTGATACTTTTTATATTTCAGGAGAGAAGTCACAATATAAGCTGTAAGTGTTACAGGACTTTTATTGCCACCTTGCAGCTCGGTGTGGATCACTCTTCCTGGCTCCCAAAATTCACCATTGGGTTTTTGACGGTTTTTGAGCCATGTATACGTTCTGTGTAACACATTCTGATCAATATCTATGTAGGGATCAGCTTCAAGGAAACATCTTAAAACAAAGGCTGACAACCTTGGTAAAAAAGAAAAGGCGGGGGGATCACATAAAATACAATTATAAAGTCCTCCAAATAACACTGAGCAAGAAAACACCAGCAACAACACTTCTTTCCCCATCAGAAGGGTCACCAAAGAGAGAGCCACTGTCAAAGAAACAGGGAAGAAAACGACAAAGAGGTGACATAGACAAACTGGACCTAGTTTCCACTAGAGTGTGGCAAAAAAATTTTAGGTCAATTTAAAAAATATCAAAGTTAGGAGGGAATTTAGAAAAAAAATCCAATACAGCCTCATTATTTTATAGATTGAGAATTTGACATTCCAAGACAGTCAAACAAATTGTCCAAGATTATCCATCTTCAGACTGTTCTAGGTATTTACTAAGAATGAACTCATTACATTACTTCACTTAGCCCTTAAGTTGCGGATAATGTATCAGAAACTGTCGTGCTGTTAAATAGAGGAAATGGATGTTTTCTTTCCTACAGGACAGGAGTCAGCAAATTATAGCCTGTGGGACAAATTTGTTGGGCCAGATCTGAGTCTGTTTGCAGCCCAGAGTCTGATTTTGTACCTCTCCCCCCACAACCTTCCCTCTAAAAATGGTTTTTAAAGGGAAAGAGAGGGATGAGAGGAGAGGAAAGAATGTGCAACACAGACACCATGTGGTCTATAATGCCTAACATATTTACTATCTGAACCTTTACAGAAAAAGCTGGATGATCACTAGATGTTGAGGCAAAAAGAATGTCAAGCAATAAAACACTGAAACTTTTCTATTTATGGATCTATATCCTGACTCGTGCCAAAAGAAAATTTGAACCAGATCTGTTTCATCCTATAAAAGATTTAGTGTGGTAAACATTACTAATATTCAATAATATCCAGCTCTTTTACTTTGAGGATGCAGAGGAATTCACTTCCTTGCCTCCCTGAAATTAAGCATGGCCACGTGACCAGCAGTGATAATGATAAAGCGAAAAGAAATGTTACATCCAGGCTGAAGCTTCCAATTGCCAGTGCCGCACACTCCAGCCTTTTCCCAGGCAGAGAGAGGCAAGCCTGGAGCTTCCAGGTAAGAGGAGATGGTGGCAGCTGAAGCATAGACTGTAGAGCCCCCTACTGGCCCATAGTGGAAATGCAGTATGCGTAAGAAAAACTGCTGTCAATGAGCTACTGAGATGGGTTCATTTTTAACAGAGCATGCCCAGCCCAACCTGACTGATACACTCAGTCTTTCTCTGAGTGAATTGAAGAGAGCAAGGGGATAGCAAGGAGACAGAGTAATCATCCAAAATCAGCCATGAAGAGATTCCATTCTGGAGAAAACTCTAGATATTCATTACTTAATTCTGTCACTGTTTTTGCACACACACAAAAATAACCCTAAAGAAACCGCACTGACTGCATTAACACAAAATTCATGTTGATCATATCAGAGTAGAGAAAAGGCTGTGTCACAATCACCCAGTATTTCTAACTGATTTTTCTTGCCAGCTTCACCATCATCACTTGGTATTTTTATTTCTGCTTTTTCCACTAAAAAAGGATTTATGACTTACTTTTTTCAAACAAAATTGCTTTGTTAGTGTTTTAAAATCATATTTAAAAAGGAGAATCTCTTTAAAAGACAAGCTACAAGAAATGCAGCCCCAGAGCCATTATATATATATGTGTTATATATATGTGTTATATATATATATAACACATCTTTCAATTTCATGGCCATTGTGACCAGTGAGGGCCCATTCCATGATGAAGGTTTCTTCTGTCAGCAGAAACACTTACCAAGTGCTCCCTGATGGGTCATCGTTCCCAAAAGCACTGAAAGAGCCATCTTCCCGTTGGTAGAGAAGTTCTCTCTGGTAACCTAAGGGCACCAAAATAGATCAGCAATGTAATCAACCTGCAGTGAATGGAAGTCTCTGATCATGCATTCATACTGAGGAAATATGGGCAGAGAATGGGGAGGAAAAAGACATCAACTCAACAACTAATATTGAATACTTTCCATGGTAAGTGCTGTGGAAAACTTAAAATACCAGAACTTTTCGAGCAGAATGCCTAAAATAACCACTGATGTATCCTCAAAGTAAAGTAAATTCAGAGGAATACTATAACATAGACAAGTCCAGCCATTCAAATTAAAGTAAATTAAAGGCAGAGTTTTATTTCACTCTGTAGTTTTTACTCCAATAGTTTCAATACTTAGTCACCTAAAATTGTTTGCTGCCTAAGAAAAAACTAAAGTATCACTACTAAAGTTTAAAGCTAACACAGAAAGTGAAAAGGCTTTCTACTTTTAGGCCAGCAACAAAGAGGGTTGGAGGAAGGGCAAATTGTTAAATAATCGAAGACAGTGCCTCTAAAATTTTTTGGCCATGGCCAACAGAAGTAAACCAAAGACCAACTGGTCTGCCCACCACATCAATTCCAAGTTTTCACTTAAAAAAAAAAACAAACAAAGCAAAACCTCGATGGTAGTAATGAAGTCTCATTATAGAAATAAATTAGGAAGGGGGTTAAGGTTCATGTGTCTGCTGTAATAAAAGCAGATGTTTCATATTTGCAAATAAATGATGGCAAATAAGAGGCAGATGTTTCATACTTGCGCAGTGATGCATGCAGGTCTCAAAGTCCAGTGACTCAGAAATTATAGACTGAACACTAAAGAGTCACCCAAGAACCCACAACAGACTGACTTGCCAAAAATGAAATTAAAATAGCAATAATTTATCATTAGAAGTCAGGCATAAGCAAGAACCAAAACCATTCCAAACTCCAGGTATTATCAATGGTTCTCTGATAACCAAGAATTCTTCCAAAAATCCCAGGGTTCCACTACAGGCAGGGAGGGCACACGCCGTGAGCCTTCAGCTCGGCACATGGAGCTCGGGAACCTCGAACATTTGTAACACGTTGAATTTAATTCCCTGTAAATTCTTGCAATAAACATTTTTACATTATGAATAGCACATTTTAGAAGCATCAACAATGATAATTATTCATATTTGATTAATAAAACATGAGTATTAATATTTTAAAATCACAGTTAATCTGGTCTTGCCATGTCCCCAGCTTTTCCCAGTGAGCCTCTCCACAGGAAACCCCAGCTCTGTGGAGCTGATGTAAGCTACAGAGAGACAAAATACGAAAAAAAAAAAAACACTGCTTCATGGTGACCTTCAAGGCCATGGTAAAAGAAATATACATTAACATTTAAACGGTGACAAACTTTTGCTTAATTTAAAGAAGGGGATGTAGGTTATAATCTTTATGTTTAAAACTAAAATATTGTGGCACAGTCATTAAATAGCCAACCTTTATCCAAACACTGACTACACGTCAGGAACTGTTCAAAGCCTTTTCCGGACCCAAATCATTCTTACAATCATTCAGGACCCTGTGATGTAGATGCCATTATTATCCCTTTTTACAAATGGTAACAGTGGAACTCACGTGCAAGGTCACACAGCTGGTTGGTACGGAAACTAGTCCTTAGCCAAGGCCCACCTGTCTGCAAAGCTGCTGTTTCCTATTCATTCGGAGACTTCTTTCAATGATTACTGTATGGAAAGTTCCTAGCACAGTACTTTCTACATGGCAAGCTCTCAATAAGCAATAGGTATTATTTTGTAATACATGTGGAAGAAAAGCCTTTCCAACCACAGAATTTTTTTAAAAGTTGACAAATTTCACTACAAAAATTTTGTTTTTACCTTTTACCTTTACCTTTAACTTATTAGCAAAGTTAAAAGATCATGAATTAGAAGAAAATGTTTGTAACATATAAGAGAAGCAAATGGCTAATATCCCTAATATATAAATGTTATGTATACGTTCATATATTATTACAATATCTTTATACATATATATAAAGAACATTTTTTAATTTAGAGAAAAATATTTAAATCTACAGGAAACAATGAATAAAAAAACAGACATTTTATTAAAAAACAAAGAAAGATGGACCTTAATATATGAAAAATGTTCATCTTCATAATGAGCAAAATGCAAATGAAAACTAATTGAGATGCCATTCCTCATCCATCACATTAGCAAAGATCCAAGAGCTTGACCATTCACCCCACTGGGGAGGCTGTAAGGTGACCAGTACCCACCACTGCTGGAGGGAGTGCAGAACAGTAAACTCCTGTGTAGAAAAATGTCCAGGGGGGTTCAGCCTATGGCCTGCGGTTGCACGTGGCCGAGAATGGCTATGAATGCGACCCAACACAAAATCATAAATTTACTTAAAACATTATGAGTTGTATTTTTTTATTACATGTCACAGTGTATTTAATGTGTGGTCCCAGACAACTCTTCTTCCAGTGTGGCCCAGAGATGCTGAAGGTTGGACACCCCTGGGCCCTTTTGACCCAATAATCCCACTTCTAAGAATCCAGCCTGAAGATACACCTCCAACACCACCAACATGTACATGCAAAAGATTATTCCCTGAAGCACTGTTTGCAATTGCAAGCATATTAGAAATAACCTAAATGTCCCCAAATTACACGTTGGTTGAGTAAACTTTAGTGCATACACACAATGCATTACTATGCAGCTGTGAAAGAAGAATAAGGACTTTCTCTGAACTGCAATGTAGTAATTTGCTGGAAATATTATTAAGTGAAAAGGACAAAGTCTAAAGTAGCACATGTAGCATACTACCTTTTGTGTAAAAAAAAAACAAGAGAACATATGCGTATAAGTTAGGTTCTGCAGAGAGGGGGACAGAGAACCTCGGAACTAAAGAAGTTACCTACGAGGTCAGGGAGAAGGGACACAAGAGGCACAGACACACTTTGCATACGCCTTTCAGAATAAGTTTGACTTTTCAAAAGATATTAATGATCGACACACTCAAAAAGCCCAGTAAGAATGAAAAAAGTTAAATAATAGGCACTATTCATGTCACCTTAGTTCACTTTAACATGTTTTAGTTTTCTTATAATGTTGAAAAAAACAAAATAAAATCACTTCCTTTTTCAGAGCCATCCAGGGATCTCAGAGAAGCAGAATAATTTTCTAATACTCACAAAGGAAATTAGCAAAAGAGTCCAAGGCATTCTCCCTCAATTTCCACGTCAGGACTAAATCTACCAGGAAAAGTTGAACTGCGAACCCAGTCTGACAGAGGAGAGGAGGTGGAAGGAAGAAGAGAAGAAAGCAGAGGAAAAGAAGAGGAGGAAAGAAAAAAGGAAAGGCTCGTGGCCCTCCATCAGCACAGGAGGTGCTTCTGTGAAAGGAGGGACCGACTTCAAAAAGAAGACCATGTGCCTCCAAGCCCCAAGATCACATCAACAACTGCAGTTCCAAGTATGAGTTATGTAAAACCGGTCAGAGAGATGAGCTCATGGAGATGAGGTCAGTGCTTATGGAAATTACCCCCACGTGGCTGACCTCCAGCAGTCCCCATTAATATCAACAACTAGCACCATTCTTCCACCAGGGGCAGCCAGCCCGGAGGGGGGTAAGGACGCAGACAGTCCCCCACTGGGAGCGTACTTCTAGAGCTGGCTTAGATAAAACTGTGAATCTAAATCACCAGCCCTGCACCCAGGGCAAAACAAAGGAGAGAATTAGAACCCAAAGTGAGGGGCTCATCTGGCTGCCCAGGCGGGGGTCTCCTGTGAGGCTCCGCTCCTCACCTGACACCAGCCAGGCAACCGTCAGAGCACCCTCGGCTGCTGGCCCTCCAAACCCTCCACTCCATATACAGAAAAGCACACTGTTGACTCAGCTGTGATGTTTCTCGGTAATACCACAATTCAATGTTCCAATGTAGTCACCTAAGTTGGAGACTTGTCATCACGATGGGTGAGAAAAGCAAAAATATAGTGTTTTCCAAGTGTTTATGAGGAAGTAAGAGTATAGCCTTTAAGTTCACCATTTTATGAATAGTTCTTGAGTTAAAAAGTAATAGCTCTTGAGTTAGAAAGTAATAATAGTATAATCGGAATTAACAGACACCCTGAAAATTAAAATACAGAGGAAGTCCAGAGACTGCTGAGATAATGCCACATGAACTGTCATTTATAAAGGGCCAGAAAAGACACAGACTTACTGGATCATGACTTTCCTTTGAAATAGCCACAAATGTAAAGCATTTAAAATTTATCATAATAAATATGAAAGTGCTAGTCATGCAAACACATAGAACAGTAATGTTCCAACCATAAGATGATGTGGTTTACCTCAAGTGTCAAAATTGCATAGAAATAAAAGCAGTAAAATCAGCTCCCTGTTACTATATCAATCACTTTCTCTGGTTAAAAAAAAAAAAAGAAGTTGATAATAAAAGTAATCCTTCCCAACTCCCTTACCCTTTATGACATGAAATGGAAAGTGAGAACTTGACCACACGTCCTCACAAAATCTTCACTGCTGCCTCCAGCCACCCCTGTGGTGGCCAAATGCAGCACAAGACTTCTGCAACCTGCTTTTTTTCCTGTTTTATTTCAACAGAGAAAATATAATATGTTTTCAACTAAGCCTGGTCTGAGTCCCACTTGAAAAATTGAGCTGCAGGCACTATGATTTAAATATTTGAGGAAAACAAGTGTTTTAAATCTCTAATTAACAGATTCAGGATTTCCAGTCCTTATCAAAAACAGCTTTTATTTTACGGTTCTATTTTTCTTTTGACAGCAAAAGACACTTCATTCAATGATGTAGCTGTTGTTTTGACCAAAAAACAACGGGTTAGGTTACGGGGCTCCTGGGCCAAGCATGATTTAAGTAAAACAATGCGCTGTTCATAAATGACATTTAAATAATATAATCATGACTGATGCCAAAGCCACTTTAATTCATTAAAAAATAAAAACAACTACAGTATATTTAAAGGACTTTAGCAAATGTGATGGCAAAAGAAAAAACAGAATCTCTAAAATAAGACACTGATTTCATAGTGAAAATCATTATACCAAGAGGTTTTTGTGCACGACATTGAAATGTGGCTCGGCCCAGCGTGGGAAATGTGTTTAGGGGGGCACCCCTGGACTGGCCTCCATCAGCCACTCCGCCAGCCCAAAAGGTGGAACACAGAGACCACTGGCCACGTTTCCCAGCTGATAAGAACATGCAAGGGCCTAGTGTTTACAAATAATGACCCCATTGTGGAAGCACTCGAGAGACCTTCTAGGTCCAATCGGCACATTACAATGGTGAACCTAAGGCCCAAAGAAGTTACTATCGGTAGCAATGTGTTCATCCATTCTGTATTTATTGAGGTGCAAATATATCTACTCTAGATTCACGGAGGTGTCAAAACAGGGATACGATGGAGGAGATATTAAAGATGGTCCCAGTGGCAGGGACCATCTTTAATAGTCCTCTCCTTCTAGTGCAGCAGACAGATCATTAAAATAATTTTTAAGATAATTTGAAATAATGTTTTAAGTATGGTAAATAAAATAAAATGGAATAATATAAGTGAGAGTTACTAAACAGTTAGGAAACGCCACTCTGAGAAAAACACCACCTGAATGAGGAGAAGGAGCCAGCCACAGAAAGGTCAGAGGCAAGAGCCTCCCAGGGCACGGAAGGACACGTGTAAAGGTACCGAAGCTCCAGACGTGGCCAGGCGGGGAACCAAATGCTGGCGGTGTCAGACAAGGTGGAAGATGGAGGCCCATCCAGTTCCCTCAGGACCTTGTGGGATAAGGCCAAGAACCTAGAAGGCCAAAAGCATAGAAGACTCCCACTGGAGATTGTGAGCAAGGAGGTGACATGATTTTGAAATTAGCAAAAGTTCTCTTTTAGAACATGGGAGACTACGAGGCTAGAAACAGAGTCTATTTAGAAAGCCACTGGAGCGGTCGCGTGAGCCATGACAGCGAGGGAATGGAACACTCAGCCACGGGATGAAGACTGTGGAAGCATTTCCCACTGGTTTTCAAAGGTAGAAGGGACAAGATTTACGTGCTGACTTGAGACCCTAACTCCCTAGTTATATGCAACTAACTAGTGCTAAAATGTCTCACTTAATCTTCACAACAGTCTCGTTCCTATATATCATCCTCTTGAAAGTCGCCAAATGAAATCTTGAATACAAGTTTTCAAAAGGTGCAGAGTTAAATTCTAATGATTTCAAATATTTTCTACTCATCTCCTTAAATATAATCATTATGGTGACGGGCAAAGGTCTCATTTGTTTTTAGCATGGCACCACTATTATACCAGAGAGCACTTGGAGTTCAGATCCCAGCTCTGCCACTTAGTTGTTGTATGACCCTGAGCAAGTTAGGTAACTTCTCTGTGCCTCAGTTCCTTCATCTGTAAAAACAGAAGGATAACACTAACACTAATTATGAGCATTAAATGATATATTAGATGTAAAGGTTTTAGAACACTGCCTACCATATAGTAAGCACTCAACTAACGTTAACCATTGGTATCAGCAAGTCGCAAATGCAAAGTATCTGGTGTCTACACACAGTATCAGCTTCTCAAGGAGCCATGGTGCAGTCACCACTGCTCTGGATTCTGACCTGAGGATCCAGCAGGGCCTCCTGCACACACAGTTGTCTCCTAACCATCTGCTTGACGTTCTGCATGTACGGAGAAGGTACCCACCGTGGGACACCACAAGTACTCCCAGACAGACTGTCTTCTCCACTGAGCAGGGAATTCCCCTGTCACCTCAGCACTAGAAGGAACCCTGGCACTCAGTGCTTAATGAATAAAAAAACACTCATCCCTCTCATTTTTTTAGTGGTTTTAAATTTCAGGACCCTTATAAAATACAAATCCCTCCATAAACCAACCCCTTAACAAACACCTTAGCAGCAATTAGTGAACAGTGAGCACACACTCCTAGCACATTTCCACACAATCACAGAGCAAAGATGGAATCTGCCTGTTTTGTAAAATGGTCTAGAGTGAACTCTGCCTTAAAAAAATTATAAATTAAAGCATGGTTCTAAAATGCTTACCTTGTCTCATAAATGAAAGAGCTTTTTCTTTTAAATTCTCTGTCAGTTGTTTCTTCTTAGTCAGGTAATTCAAAACATAAATATTTGGAGCAAAATTTATCATGTTCTGTTCACCACAGCCGTAAGGCATCCGAATCAATGAGGCTAAGCCATTGATGGAAGAACCAAGAATATCTCCTGAAAGCACAAGATATGCAACACATTCAGCAAATACTCAATACCTGTACCTCTTGGTTGAGAAGATACCTCCACTGAGAACAAAAGGTACCCAGTGCTTAGGGCAGAGGAGAAACTGTACGTCAAGTTTTTAGGATGATTGCTCTAATAAATGGTAATACAGTGACTCTGAACTTATAGATTACATGACAAATTAGGACATTTCTTAGCTCAGGTAAAGATACAGACATACACCAGACAAAAATAAGTTTAAAAAATAAATCTTGAACAAAAATGTCAGGAATTAACCATTAACAAACTATCATTCTTATATAGGAAAGAAATGGTTTTTAAATTGGTATTCTTTGTATAAATAGAACTTCAATCTGATTTCTTACTAATATACTACAAATACTTCAGAATTAATTTTTTTAAAGATAGGAAAAGTTAAATCTAGAACTTCCAGCCCAGATGGAGACGTAGGTAGACACACTGTGCCTCCTTGCACAACCAAAATAAGGACAACAAAAATGTAGAAACAAAATAACAACCAGGACTGACAGAAAATTGAACTGTATGGAAGTCGGGTGACCAAGGAGCTGAAATAGACACACTTATCCAGACCAGTAGGCAGGGTGGAGTCAGGCAACAGAGCAGAGAGGGGTGGCAGCACAAGAAGTGGTGACACGGGGCGCACAGGCACCCCGGGCATGCGAGACGACAGCAGGCGGACCCTGGGCTCGCAGGCAGCAGCTGGAAGACCCCGGGCGAGGGGTGGCAATAGACAGACCCAGTGAGACAGCGAATGAGAAGCAGGGCACTGCACACAAGGCAACTGGGTGACTGGGTGGTGGTCCCACATTTGTGTGCAGATAACGGGAGCCAGACAGACAGAGCCACCCAGGGTCTCAGCGCTGGGAAATAAAGCCTAAAAACCCCGATCAAAAATACTTGTGGGGGTTGACGCACAGGGAGAGACTCCCAGCCTCACAGGAGAGTTTGTTGGAGAGACACGCAGGGTCCTAGAACACACATTACACAAGTCCACCCACCCAGGAACCAGCACCAGAAGGGCCTAGTTTGCTTGGGGGAAGCAGCGGAAGAGACTGAGGTCTGACAAAGAGCGGAGCTAGCATCATTGTTCCCTCTCGGACCCTGCCCTCACATACAGCATCACAACCCAGCCACTGGGTTGCCCCGCCCTGGTGAACACCCAAGGCTCCCCCCTTCAGTACATAACAGGCATGACAAGACCAAAAAAAAAAAAAAATGGCCCAAACAAATCAAAGCTCCACAGCAAATACAACTAAGTGATGAAGAGATAGTCAGCCTATCAGATGCACAGTTCAAAACACTAGTGATAGGATGCTCACAGAATTGGTTGAATTTGGTCATAAATTAGATTAAAAAATGAAGGCTACACTAAGTGAAATGAAGGAAAATGCAAAGGGAACCAATACTGATGGAAAGGAAACTGGAACTCAAATCAATGGAGTGGACCAGAAGGAAGGAAGAAACAACCAAACAGAAAAGAATGAAGAAACAAGAATTCAAAAAAATGAGGAGAGTCTTAGGAACCTCCAGGGCATCTTTAAATATTCCAACATCTGAATTTTAGGGGTACCAGAAGGGGAAGAGGAAGAGCAACAAGTGGAAAACTTATTTGAACAAATAATGAAGGAGAATTTCCCCAATCTGGCAAAGGAAATAGACTTCCAGGAAGTCCAGAAAGCTCAGAGAGTCCCAAAGAAGTTGGACCCAAGAAGGAACATACCAAGGCACATCATCATTACATTAGCCAAGATTAAAATGAAGGAGAAAATCCTAGAAGCAGCAAGAGATAAGGAGACAGTTACCTAAAAAGGACTTCCCATCAGACTGTCAGCTGATTTCTCCAAAGAGACCTTGCAGGCAAGAAGGGGCTGGAAAGAAGCATTCCAAGTCATGAAAGGCAAGGACCTACATCCAAGATTGCTCTATCCAGCAAAGCTTTCATTCAGAATGGAAGGGCAGATAAAGTGCTTCTCAGATAAGGTCAAGTTAAAGGAGTTCATCATCACCAAGCCCTTACTTTATGAAATGTTAAAGGGACTTATCTAAGAAAAAGATTAAAAACATGTACGGAAAATGACAGCAAACTCACAATTACAACCACACCTAAAATAAAAACAAAGTAAGGAAACAATAGAACAGGAACAGAACCACAGAAATGGAGATCACATGGAGGGGTAGCAACAGGGGAGTGGGAGGAGGAGAGAGGGGGAAAAGGTACAGAGAATAAGTAGCACAGATGGTAGGTAGAAAATAGGGGGAGGGCAAGAATAGTATGGGAAGTGTAGAAGCTAAAGAACTTAAGACACATGGACATGAACTAAAGGAGGGGAATGTGGGTGGGAGAGGGTGTGCAGGGTGGAGGGGAATGAAGGGGGGAAAACAGGACATTCAGAGTGAATATAAACTTAGACCATCAAAATTCAAAGAAGCAAGCTAGTATTCATACATTCTGAGCTACCAAATAGTCTCTTTAAAATAAACACCATACAAAAATAAAACCTGAAAGATCATTCTTTATGCCAAGCTTAAAAAGTACATCTCAAAGTACTTCAGTGACCCCAGATGGACTCACTCCAGCGTAAGGTGTAGTGGCACATGTTTAAAAGTCAAGGCTTCTCCCTCTGCATGCACATGTGTTCATGCATGTGTGCATGTGTGCGTGGGTGGGCTGAATCCTCCCAGCAGCCCATTGCTGTGGGTGAGGCCTAGGTGGAATTTTTATTCCCCTAAATAAGGAGCTTATTTAATTCTTTTTAACGAGTCATAGATAAGGCTCCAAAGAAAATGGAGGAACCATTTTCTCCTCCTATAGTTCCTCTATAGAGGAACTGGTTACTTGGGGTTATAGTAAAAAAGCATTACACCTGCAGATGGGAATGAACAAGAATCTCTGAGGTGTTTAAGGTCCTAACACCTTGAAAACACAACAATTTAGATGTCATTAGCCTCAACATTTCTTCATGTTTTTGTAAAGCACAACTATATATACACAAACAGACTGTGTGGGAGCTGTTTAACAGCCGATGCAAAAGTCCTTTCAGGGACACAGAGGGAGGCTAGGGGAGGCTGCCTGAAGTCGGCGGGCATCTCCCTGCCGTAAAGGTGACTCGGGGCCTGTACAAACGACTGCCCTCAGCAGCAGTTCTCAGCTCTGGTTATCAGAAGCACTTTTGGAACCTTTTCAAAATACACATACCCTGGCCTTGGCCCAAGAGATTCTGATTGAGGAGTGCCATACAGGAGTCCAATACTTACCAGACTTGAGAGCCACAGGAGCCAGTTCTGCTCTTAGAAATAACCTCCCCCTGTAGCTACATTATAGGGGGCCTCACTACTCAAAAAGTGCTCTGCAGACCAGAAGCACCAGCATCACCTGGGAGTTTGTCCCAAATGCAGAACCCCAGGTCCCAGCCCAGGCCTGCCATGCCAGAGTCTGCCTTTGAACAAGACCCCCAGGCGATTCATAGGCACATTGAACATGCAGAGGAACTGGTTTAGGACACATATCTTGCTAGCCTTTCTGCTGTAATCCTGCTAGCCTTCCTATTTGATACCAACCCAAAACTTGTTGCAACCTTTTCTCATTCTAACCAGATAAAGTATGGTACATCTACGAATAGATGAAAATATATATCATCATGTATAAATGAACCAGTAGTTATGCTACTTTACTCCATTCTTACCAATTGCAGTGATCTGAACTCTTTCACTACCACTCACTGTATCGGGAGGAAAGGAGAAACTCAAAGTTTTCTGTGTAGTCTGTAGCTTGTTGTCAGTCAAGTCCAATAAGATGGACTGTGAATATAATTTTTCTATTCCTTCGGCCTGTCGACACAAAAGCAACACAATTAATGTGGTCCCCCCTCCTCTGTTTGCAGAGCCCTGAATGCAGACAATAAAAGCAGCACTGTTAAGGTGGTCCCCCCTCCTCTGTTTACAGAGCACTGTGTGCAGACAATAAAACAACATCTGGCCCGTGGTGTCGCAGTGTGTGTGTGATGAGGTAAATACCTACTGTCCCTTGACTCTCGCTTCAAATCTGTTAATAACCGTTCACTCTCTAGTTAAATTAGACAAACCACCTCATGAAATGGCAGTGGCAATGACAAAGGAGAAAGTGAAAAGGTGATGAGAAAAACTCTCTGAGGCAGGTTCCCTCACTATCCAGAGAGATTAACTACCTTGCCCACAGTCACACTGGACAGAGCTGGGATTAGAGCCCAGGGCCGCCTCACCGCAGAGCACGAGTGCTTATGCACCACGCCAAGTTGTCTGTTTGTGCACAACATGTTCTCTAAAAAAATCTACAAAATGCTTTCTGTCTGTGCTGAGGAATTCCAAAATTCAAAACCCACACACCAACTGAACACGATTTAATAGGATCCCAGTGGAACATGATTTATAAATATAACTGCAAAAGAGACTTGCTTTACAGTCATACTATCAATGTAAAGAGGAAATTGGCAGCTACTTCCAAAACATAATACATTAGAAAAACAATTAGGCATTCCCGGAAAAGTGGAGGAGATGACCCACTAGGTCTGGCCAACAAATCTAACCAAGAAAAACCACCTTCTGTGTCCTTTTCACTCACATGCTTCCATTCCATTTACTGGAGACTCCAAATATTTACCTTCACGAACACCCTCTGGGTGACAGCATCGGAAGCAGCAGGTGAAAACGCTGAGACTGTGATGGGAATCTCCCCCACACGCGTTGGTCTGACCGGGAAAAGAACGGTTGCGCCATCCTCACTGGGAACAACAGTGGTCTGCTGGTGCTCTGTGGCATTGACCTCATTTGAAGCCATTAGAATATCAAATTGGTCGCTTTTTTCAATGGTCACCTTGACCTGGTAGAAAAATTTATTATCGAAGGTTTTGTATAACAAATGCTCTGGTGTAAAGTGTTAACTTCATCACTACCTTCAGTTCTGTTCATCTGCCAGGCCCAATAGAGGAAGATGAGACAGATTCGGCCAAAGAGAGGATGGAAGGGTATCAGGAAATTTTCATCTCTTTCCCATGCTTCCTTAGTCCACTTCTAAATTCAACTCCAACTAACATCAAATTCTCCTGTTATCCAAAGCCTTTGAGTGGTAACGAGGTGCCCAGAAAGGTTATTTCATGTCACTGCATTGCCACAAGCCTGACTGAACTGTCATTCTGAGACACTGGTGTTATTAGAAAAACCTGAGACAAAAGGGTGACATGTTATGACATCACCAAGAGTCTCTGCTAAAATTACTCCAAGGAAAGTGGGACTCAGACCTTCGTCCCGAAATGTCCATCAGCTGTAAACTTTTGTAAAGTGTGTCGGAGTTGCCGGTCTCATCAAAAACAGCGTGTCTCTGAGCCTTACGTCTTATGAATTGTTTTCCCATTAATTTTCTTGTCTGTTTCTCAAACTATTTTCTGTAGAAACAGTAATTATTATTCCCACTTACAGACGAAGAAACTACAATTAATTTATTTACCGGGAAAGGTAGAGAGGGAACTCCCTCTGACTCCAGAGCTTTTGCTCTTCACACTGTACCATGTCGACTAGATTAAAAACTAAAATTTTAAAGGAAGAACCAATTTATTAATGGACACAGTGCTTTAAGAAAGTATGGCATTTTCACGTAGTAATTAGCCTGATAAGGTTAATTACAGCTCTCTGCTTACCCTGGGGCAGTGGGGGACGGGGGCAGAGGTGGGGGTCAACCATTTGGTTAACACCGTTAGGGACACAACCCGAACAGTGAGCCAAACCCTGCCTTCCAGGGAGCTAACGAAGGAGACACAGGCGCACGCCTCAGAAAAACAAAGCCTTAAAAACAGAAATGCACTAAACACACATGGGGACAATCAACATAACAGAATGGGTGAGAAAAGTCATCTTACTTTCAAGCCAGATCTTTAATGAACTAAGTTTCTTGCCAACTACAGTGGACACACAATGACAGTGATGAGTGGCAACACATTGTAGACGTGAATAAGACTAGGAAAAAACTTCAGCAGGCAAGAAAGAGAAAGACTGGCCTCAGAGACAACATGGAAGTTCCGTGGCTTAAGTGAGGAAACTGCTGGAAAGGGCAGACAGGAGAGAGAGGGAGAGTGCTTAGATGTGACAATAATACCCTTCCACGTTAATAAGCAGAAGGAATCACTGCCAAAGTCTGTGTACGTTCATTTCTCCAGAATGTACGCAGAACCCACTGTCCAGCCCAGTCTCTGCATGTTTTCTCCATTTTCCCCTGAAGTGTAAGTGATTCACCAAACCTTTCGTATGTTACCTCAGTGGCGTCTTTCAAATAATTGAATATGGTTACTTCCAAAGCAAATTCTTCACCTCTGATCACAGAGTAGGGAAGATTCAAAAAAATGAAAAACGGCTGAAAGGCTTGTAGCTAAAAAGAACACAATGAATACATATTTTATTTGAATCAAAATGCTTCACATTTTATGTGATTAAAAGAAAATGTCACAAAACCTATGAAACTTATAACTTCATACAGAAATGTCCACTTGCCTATCAACACACAGCAAACATAGTAACTTACTGCAAGTGAACCTGGTAAATTGGTTTGATTTATGTTAGTCAACACTATCTTTTATGAAGGGCCTACTTGGAACCAGGTAGTTTACACAAATTATCTCATTTAACCATCACAACCTTGAGGCAGGTGTTATGCTCATAGTTTACAAAAATGAAATCTGAAGCTGAGAGACCCCTGTAACCAGTATGAGGTAACACTGTCAGTAAGTGGAGGAGCCAGAACTGGGTCCCAGCGTGTCTGAAAACAATGCTAAGTTCTCTGCTACTGCACTGTACTGACGCTGCCCATCTGCTTCAAAAGCAGCTAGCCAAATCCAAGAGCCTCTGTTTTAGACTCGTGTGCGAAGTCTAAGTGATGTTCTGTCTACTGCCTTTCACACATGCAGACACATGGACTTCCTCACTGGTAACTCACCTCTGACACGGTTGACTATGTCCTGCAGGGGATGCAGAACCCCCTCCCCTGCCTCTGAGGATAAGGTTCAATCCCTGCAAGCTGGTGGTTCTCACCGGCAGCAGAAATCCCCTCTAGGGGTTTGTCTGGACATTTGTGCAAGGGTCTTAGATTGCCACAGTGTTTGAAGGGTGCCATTGGCACTCGGCCGGTGAAAGTCTGCAATGCTCAGGGCAGTCCCAGCCTACAGAGAAGTGCCCCATATCCCTCATGAGTCTTGAACGTCTCTTCAGACATTTGTGTAGCATAGATAAAGTACCTGCTTATGATAACCTGAGCTTACAACATAATTCCAACATACAGATAAATGCAAAGCATTTTCCAATGCACACTTGATTTTTCATGAATACAACTATTTTGTTAATCAAAAGAAGACTGTGCTTGTTTTTTTTTTTTTTTTTTGGTAACTCTACTTAAAGTTGTTCACAATTTCAGAAATTTGCATCACATCAGACAGCACCACTCAAGGCTTTTGCATTGCTAAAACAATACAAATCTGTCAAAGTGCATTTCTGTGCATGGCACAAATATTTAAATATACTACTCTGTCTTCTAGTGCAGTTAGTTATGCCAGGTCATTTATATCCTGAAATATAATTGTTTTATATTTACTGTCCTCTTATTTCTACTTAATATTTCACTTAGGGCATCATACTGATTTTTAATTGAATATGTAGGTATATTATGTGTTTAATGAATTTCATTTAGATTGGTAAAGGGATAAAGCAAAATATCTGTTATAAAAGGGGGCTTCGGGCACAACAGAGGTGGGAGCTACTGGTCTAAGACCAATGATAGCTTTCACGTTCCTCTTGCCAGCAACTGGTTTAGGAAGTAAAACAGGTCATACGATTAGACCAGAGAGATACAAAGGAAAGTCTGCCAGGGGACATCTTGAGAAGTTATGTTTGATCTTGAAAGAGGAACACACAGAAATACTTTCTATCTTCTGACCTTTACCAGTGGTGGGACTTGGTCCAAAATAAACTTTCTATCCAAATCTAAATATGGATCTAGCACTTTTAGCTGCTTAATACAGCTCACATTGTAAAATACAAAACAGATGAAAAGCAAAGAGGGAAAACCTAGGAATCTCAAAACCATGATCAACATCATAAGCAGTTATAATCTGTGGGGTTGACACTTTCTTCCCTTTATGAAACTGTAACATTTACAAGCAGCACGTGATATACTACCTCCACTGGAGTAGTTGTTAGTCCAAGACCTAAATCCTCAGAGAGCACAAAAGCAGTAGCTACCCAAGATGTGATAGAATCAGGTACAGTAACTTCAAATTCTTCATATGTCTTGGAACTGAAGTCAAGATAAACATAAAAATCACAAAACCAGGAACTGACACATTTCAAAATAAGTCAACATAACCTAAACCATTTTTGGAAGACTATTAATTTTATAAATCATTTACATATCAAAAAATTTTAATTTATGCATAAAACAGCAAGAAATAGGTCATAGCAAGGTCATCATCATCTATATTAAAAGCTTTATAGTGTTCTTTACATATTAAGAATGAACATTGTTTTCATAACTTTGTAAGTAAAATAAATACCTTTTTCAAATAACTCTAAGTTTGTCTCTCATGTTGCATAAAAGTTTCATTCTGTATCCAAACCAATGCTATTATTTGTTGGGTATTTTTTAGGTCTGACTTGCACCTTATCCCAAGTTTCCAAAAATGGCTGACTTTTCATAAAATACACGCACGTTTCATGACTTACTTCCTTAGCCATCAAGCAGGCAGCATTGAGCTTGTTGGCCAGCAGACTTCCTTACACCACCCACAGCCCTTGTCCCTGTTGCTCAGAGGGACAGATGTCTTAGGAGCCATAGGGTAGAGGGAGCAACCATGAGTGCTCCCCCCCATAAGGCAACGAATACACTCTAGCAATTTTTTTCCAGTGAGAACCAAGAAACTTCAAGGAAGTTAAAATCACTCTTCACTAGAAAAAAAAGACTATCTTCTCCTTAATGATACTTTCATTGCCACAATTTGCAGGTTGCTTTCTTAAATACTCTGTTTGGAATACAGTAAACATCATTTTGAAATAAAAACCTCTGGGTCTATTTAGTTCTTAATCACACGGTGTTTGTACTGAACCATTAGAAAAAGGACAAAACTTCTTTAAAACTAACACTGTACAAAATATATATGGACAATCAACTTTATAGATTTTTACCCCATGTTGGTGTCTAGCCAAATCCAAGTCTCTGGAAAATTCTTTCTGACACGTGGATTGCCAACGGAAGAAAAGTCATATAAGTTTACCAAGGATTTGTCATGTTCCTCCAAGTAGTCCTCAGCGAACACTACACTCTCATCTAAAAGTGAACATCGACAGCCATTAGGGAAAAGTCAGCGGAGAGAACGGTTATAAACGACCCACACAATCACGGCACCTCCCAGCTGGACGGAGCTTCAGAGTTCATCTTGTCCAAGCCTCTCATTTTGCACATGAGAAACACGAGAGATTAAGTGACTAAGCCAAGGCCACATGGCCAGGGACAGCTGAGAGAGAGCTGGAAAAAAACAGTTTCCTGCCTCTATGGCCAAAACCTGAGAAACTACTTAACAGTTCAGTTGCTAAAACATCAGTTAAATCACATTTTTAAAGCTACCTTCAATTTTGCTCTTCTCCTGCAGCTCTCTAACGCTGCAGACCATGGGCTACAGGAGCCATAAAATGCTACTAGCATCATTCTTACTAAGAAGCCACATTGCCATACAGACTCTGCATCACCTGCCTCCATGTCCGCAACTCATCTATGTCTGAAATTATTTCAAAATAAAATGCAAAAAAACAACACTATAGCAGATACTACAAAGATGAGTGCAACGAGCTCCACTCACAGGCTATGCAGGATGTGGACAAATAGAAAACTGTAGCAAACGTGGTAAGAGTGATAGAAGACAGGTGTAAAATGTCTGTTATGCAGAGAAGGGTTGACTTTACACAGAATCTGAATGATGAAAAGAGCAGGGTGGGGGCGGAGGGCATTCCATTTTCCTTAAGTCTCCAGAATAAATGTATCCCATACAGGGGGGGCAAAAAATTAAGCTAAGTACAAAGGCACATGCAGAGTATGAGTATTAGGTAAAAGTAGCAAACAATGGGAGGAAAAAGAATGCTTTGGTCCAGATTTTAAAATATCAAATGTCCCTGAAGGGTTTGGATGTCACCCTTTAAGCCACAGGTGGCAAACACAAGACCCACGGGCCGAATCCAGCCTCCACCTTGTTTTACCTGGCCCAGCACCTTGTTTCTGCCCTGCCACAGGGCCGAGCTCTCACTTAACTATTAAGGAGTAGTTACATTAATGCAGTCCTAAAATGACATTCAGCCCTTTGAAGTCAACTGTGAGGCTGATGTGGCCCCTGCTGAAAATGAGTTTGACACCCCTGATTTAAGCAATGATGAGCTATTGAAGGTTTTTTAATAAATAAGAAACACGCTCCAACCCATGTTCTTTATGCACTATCTCTGGCCTCAGACTGAACAGTGGTTTAGAGCTGGGGAAATGGAGGAGGCAAAGCTGTTAGGAAGCTGAAGCAATGCTCAGGGAGACGCTGATAAGGGCCTGAAACTGAGGAGAGGGGAGGAAGGATGGTCTCGGGGGATAATTCTGCTGTGTCTTCTTTTGGCTGGATGGCCTCTGTGTGTGCCATGCTGCTCTGCATGCCCCCCACCAGCACGCTCTTCCAACTGGGCTGCTTTGCTCCACGAGGCCAAGCTGGAAGCTCCATTGCCTCAGACATGCTAAGCACACAATTAGTATCACCGTTATCTTTTGAATAATGAATAAACAAACTGGATCTGAGGGATAATAGGTAATTGCAGACTATAAGTGCCGAACACAGGCTAAGCATTCCCATGCTTTTGAGTGTAACCTCACAATACCCTGTAATACAAGTAATAGTATTAGACCTATACTTCAGGGAAAACTGAGGCTTAGAGAGGTTAATTGACTTCCTCAGTCATGAAGTCAGAATCCAAAGCCAGAAGTACTTGATGGAAAATTTCTTTCTTGACCACATGGGACAGGAAGAGAGGATAAGTTCTGAGTTTTTGATTTGGACATCTGAGTAAATAACGATTTCATTAACAGAGATATGAAATCATATCAATTCAAGGAATCATATATCAATCAAAACATATTAAGGAAGAGTGAAGTTGTAAGAAGAGACAAGACATACTGAATTCGAGGCATTTGAGGGGCATCACGGCTCAGAAACAGAGGGGTGAGATCCACGGTCAGGGTGTTCGGGGGCTGTGCAGCAGGGAGGACGTCATGGACGAACGAGAGACTAGGGAAGACTCCCGCCACACTGACTGACCATGTGGTCCATGCCAGGTATTAAAGGGAAATGGAGGGAAAAGGAGACAATAACCCAGAATAAGCAGAAGTCAAGACCAAAGAAGATGTTTTATAGATTTTTAGGGGAGTGAGGGAATATACAAAGTAGGAGGAGAAGCATTTGAAATGTTAGGAGCAGAGCAGTGCTCAGGTGACAATGTGCCCTTGAGTGACTACCGTTTCCACAGTGGTGACCACGGGACAGCATACATTAGCGGGACTGACCACAAGGACATTCAAATCACCCAGATGACAACAGAATAAGACTTTAAATCAATACATAGAGAGCATCGGTGCATAGAGAGGGAAAGTAGGTGACCTGAACTTTGATTACAGGAATTATAATTAAAATTTCTGAGCTTCAAGTAAGACACTCTTACCTGAGGCTTGTTGAACAATGGTCTTAAAGTATTTAAGAAAAAGTAGCCACCAAAATACTCCATGTAGCTACTGACCCTTATCCAGAGGCAGAGGCAGAGGCAGAGGCAGATCAATGTTTCGCTTGAGAAGGTTTCCGGGATACAATATGCTCGTAAGAGTATCTGGTCTCTTTTGTCAGAGCGAAGAGGTAGAAGAAAGTTTCCAGAAAAGCTGAAGGACACAGTAGGTATTGCTAACGATGGGGTGAGTAGTGCAGGGGGCACTGGGGACTGCGAAGCAAAGATGAACAAAGATGGGTGGAAGCCGAGACTGACGAAGAGAGTAAAAACAGGTAGGCTGTGCGGAAGGTTGTCGAGGATATTACTACATGAAGAAAGGTAAACGTGCCCCAGGTCTTTACTACACAGAGATCACAATGACTCCATAAAATCTTTAAGACTACAAATCAGCCCTGGTCAGGCGGCCCAGTTAGTTGGAGCATCGCGGGTTCCATCCCCAGTCGCAGGGCACCTGATCGATGTTTCTTTCTCACACTGATGCCCCTCCCTCTCCCCCAGCCCCCTCTCAAATCAGTAAATTGTCCTCGGGTGAAGATTTATAAAAAGACTATAAAATTATCCTTTTAATTTAAGGACAGAGATTCAGGTATGTGGCAAGAACCAACCCAGTGCCAAAGAACTTGGCACAGAGAAACCGAGAACTAAAAGAAATAGGGACTTTGGGGACTGAAACTGAGACAGTTCTGAAGCCTTTTAAGGTGACATTAGTATAACTTTACCTGAAAGAAAAAAGGAAAAACTTCTAGAATTACCTATTCTCATTTATACATTTCCTCAGGCAGAACATTTTATGACTTCCTCTTAAAAGTACACCTATTATTAGCTGAGTGGCCGACTGCATTTAGCGACCCGGGAACCAGGGTGTGTAGCTGGGACCCGGCCGGGAAGCCCTCGGGGAGAGGTGACCAGTGTGTGTGCATGTCCGCCTCTGTGCACAGGAACACACTGCACAGCATCCGGACTCTGTTCTAGGTGGACACCAAAAAGCTGGAGAACAAAAATGTGTCAAAAACATGCTGCTCCTTTTATCTAACTCCAAAATAACATTACAATTTACAACACAAATTGGAAGCACAGGATCTTCCAGTATGTCCAAAAATGTAACCACCTCAAAGGATTACAGAGAGCAAATGGAAAGCATTCGTTGCAAAGATCTAGAGAGAAGCCCCGCCGAACACTCTGTGTCATGGCCAGGTATAATTCCAAGTACATTAAACTCTAAACCTCTCAGGCTAAGAGAACAGAAAATAAATATCACAATGCCCATGTTCAACCAGAAAGTACTCACACCCACATAAGTAACTTTAAATACCTGAGAGGAAAGACAAAAAGACTTTAAAACCACACTGCCAGGCTTTACTTACAAACACCGTCGATGTAATCCTGCATAAGGCTTGCGTCCGTCAAAACCCAGAGGCCACATTCCTAGAAAGAAGAATTAAAATTTTCTCTTAAAAGTTAAATGTTCTCTAAAGTGTCAGAAGTTTCCCATACTCCTAACTCACTCTTGCTCATTTGTTTTTACGTAAAATATTAAAGTCCTTTTTTTTTTACTCTTGCCCATTTTTGAGTGTCTAGGTATGTACATGAGTACACATTCTCTCCCTCCCTCTCTCTTTCCATCTCTCTCTCTGATGCTGACACACACACAGGTGGAACAAGCCAAGGAAAGTGATATAATGGCAATAATGACAATCCACTAATTTCTCAATTGTGAATTTTTCCATTTGCTTTTAAAACTGGAAGGATGATTATCTCTCCATTTTAAATCACACTTGTATAGCACTCTATACTTCCGTAACGCATTTAATAAAACGTTTACATTTCATAATTCATATCATTAATTCTAAAAGTGTTTGCAACAGTAAAAGATATTAATGTCTTTTCAAATTACACAGTAAACACAACATACCTGAAAGACTGCAAAAGAATTCACAAACATGCCTAAGTAATATCCTGTGTTATAAAGTTCCAACTCATTGACCACCTAAGCAGAAGATAAAACATATGAAATGGATACATTCGTATGAACCTGTTCTTTCCTCTGCAACATTTCTTACATGTAACTTAGATAATACACAGCCCACATACTTATCAAATTTGAAAATGACATAAATAGAGAAATATGTGACTGCCTTGTTCACGATTTACTCAGCCAAAATTATACTTCCTGTTTAAACTTATTTTTACTCTTTTCAGCAATGGAGAGTTCCTAGGAAGTATGGGCTTGAGTTTTGCCCAGGAGGAATTTAAATGTCACTGGCTGACAAAACCAACACACAGAGGTCAGCATAAAAATGAACAGTACTTTTGGCAGAAATAAATGAGCTAAATTCAATGGTTGAAATAAGTTCTCCAAAATATCAGTAAAATGTTTTAAAATAATACAAAGAGAAAATCCACAAAAGATGAAATGCAAATTATTAATAAGCAGAAAAAATATTCAACCTCATTGATAATCAAAGCAATGTAAATTACAATATCCAGGAGATAGCATTTTTTAATGAGATATTTGCATGTAATACATTAGCAATGTTACTTTTTAAGAGAACTCTGCTAGCAAGAGTGAGTACAATTGGCAGTTCCTAAAAAACTTAAACACAGAATTAGAATGTGGCCAGCAATTTCACTCCTATGCATATACCTCCCCGAAATAAATCCCTGAAAATACAGACTATATACAAGTATCAAAGAGATACTTGTACGCCAATGTTCATTGCAGCATTAGTCTCAACAACCAAAAGGCAGAAGTAGGTTAAGCATCTATCGACAGAAGAATGGATGAGCAAGATGTGGTTTATGCATACAATGGCATATTATTCAGCCATAGAAAGAAATAGTTCTGATACAAGCTACAAAGATGAACCTTGAAAACATTATGCTAAGTGAAATAAGGCAGACAGAGAAGGACAAATATTAAATGATTCTACCTATATGAAATAGCTAGAATAGGAACATCCATAAAGACAGAAGTAATTAGAGGTTACCAAGGGCTGTGGAAAGGGAGGAATGGTGAGTTATTCCTTAGTGGTTACAGAGCCCCTGTTTGGAGTGATTAAAACATTTTAGAAAGACAGTGGTGATGGTTGTACAACATTATGAATGCAACTGAGGCCACGGAATTGTGCTTTTAAAAATTTGTACTTTTATGGTATATATATTTTACTACAATGAAAAAGTTAAGATATTATACTGTTTCAGTAACTACTTTGATACATCTCCCATATCTACATTAGCATTAACCAGACAAATGAACAGAAAGGCATGAACAAAAATCATAAAAGATTATAAGTAGAAGTTTAAAAAAACCAAAGTTTAAAATTAAACACCCACAACCACTGCTTCTGCTCTGCTAACAACCACTACTGCATGCACGGTAAGCACACAAACAAGCATGTGCTAGAACAGGCACCAACAGGACCAGAAAACAGACTTCCACATTGTCTCAACAAGCAGGCAAACAGTGATTTGCCCATGTACAGACAACGGAGACAGAGCCAGGCACAATAAGGAGGAAAAGGTTCTGGTTCCACGACTCAAACTCTGCCACAGATACGTGCAGGATCACCTTCTGCTGACGCTCAGGCACGAACTGAGGAAGCTACCTGGGAAGCAGCATCTATCTCATGAAGCAATCCTTTTTTTCTCACTGACTCAAGGAAAGGGCACTGCCAAAGCTGCAGCACAGGCTGATGGAGGGAAGGCTGGAGTCTGAAAATTAATGCTGGAAGATCGAGTAGACTTAAATTATTCCAAGGCATTCAATAGTCTCTCGGCAGCACCTAGAAATTTAACAAGAATGAAAGAAGCCAAAGTAGTCCATTATCACAGCCCACCGCCTCCCTCCTCCCGAGCTAACTCTGGAGAGACAATAGAAACAGGCAAGACACCTGGGTGTGCCAGGCAAGGAAAGCCTGGGAACGGTGACGGAGATCGTGAAGTGTTGTGTTGGGAGGAAGTGGGTGCTGAAAGCCGCTAGAGGCAGCAGTCAGGGAACGGGCTGGAGGAAAGGTTTCTAGGTTCTGCTCTTGTTTCTCCTAGGTGATTGATTGCTTCAGCAAGATCACTCCTTGCAATTTCACTGCCAAAGTCATCAGCAGCAAACTGCCTGTGCAGGTGTCAGGAAGACCACACCAGGTCAGGACCTCTGCCTGTCTGGTGTGAGAAAGGGAGGAAAACAGGAGGAGCACAGAGCCCTTGGCCCTCAAGCATTCACTCTTCCTCCCCTTCTCCTTCAGACCCTCAGTGATGCTGGATCATAGTCTCAAGAGACTGGCTCTTTCTGGTGCTGCTTTTCCCTAAAAGCTTACAAAAGAAACACTGAATAGAATCAGGCAGCACACAGAGGGGATCAAGAGTAGCTCTCTAGTCCCTGCAGCTCACCCCGCCCCTCACTTTAAATTCACGAGACTTACCCAGATTGGAACAGGGTAAGTTCCAATCTAGCCTCCTCAACAGACATTATTGGAGTAGCTGCCAAACCAACTGGACATTCAAAGAGTATAACTTCCATAAAAGACATCCAACGAGACAACATAGCATGTGAAGCAGAATAATGAAGAAGTCAGCTCAACATTTAAAATATACATAGTAAATATACATAAGGAGAGAGGGAAAATATCAGCAATATAAAACAAGTAAAAAAGATAACCAAAGGAAAATAATAAATATTACAAATATAATAGCTGAGATCAAGAACCCAATATAAGACATCAAAGTAGGACAGCTGCACCTGACAAATGATCAGTGAACTGAAAGTCAAACGAGAAACTCTCCCAAAGAAATACAGAAAAGACAAAGAGATAGAAAACATAAAACAAAAAGCTAAGCAATGCAGAGGACGTAGAAGTGTCAATCTCTAAATAATACAAGTCCCAGAAAAAGAGAAAAATTAAAATGTAGAAGAGGAAATATATGAAGAAATAATTAATGTAAATTTCCAGAACTAAAAATAATGAAAGGAAAGCACAGATTTTAAAAGCAATCAATCATAACACAGAACTGTAATTCTGTACCACATCCACATGATCTGACCAGAAGTGGAGAGAAGGTAGGGACAGGAGCAGAGTCAAAAAATGTACAAGAATATGAGAACGCACCAAAACACCTGTCTTGTTAAACAAAGAAACAAATGTTGATAACCTTAAGAAGGCAATAAGAATAATAAATATGAGTGTGGTTCCTGAGTTAAGGGCATCCGTCATAGACACAAAAATAGAATGTATAACTTGCAAAACCAGCAGAACAAACTATAATCTTATCCATGGAAAGAATTATGAGAAACAAAAAATAGTCTAAATGTTTAAATATAAAATAACAACTGTAATTGCAAATTTAAAAATTAAATATATGTAAAATAAATAAGCAGAAATATCCTAATTAGAACAAGAATTACTGTACATGTATCAATGAGTTAAATAAGCTTATTAAAAGATATTGACTATCAGATTAGATTAAACAAATGCAAAATATAGATATGTGCTATCGGTAAGATATACTTAAAAACAAAAACTCACAAAAGGGTTGAAAATAAAATGATGGGAAAATGTGCCAGGCAGGTAGGAACCTAAAGAAAGCTGGGGTAGCAATTTTAATATCTGACGACATTTAATATAAACATGTAGAGAGACAGGGAGACAGAAAGAGACACACACAGAGCATGCGCATTAGGCAGAAGTGTGTGTGTGTGTGCATGCGTGTGTACATATATAGGAAATAAAAATAAAGTATGTTTATAAATATATAGATTTGTTTTTATATATTTATAAAAAATAAATTTATTTCTTTATTTACAAATCCGTAAATTGAGAGCTATTGCCATATTCAGTTAAATCAAATGCAGGATGTTATACACTTTTTAAAATAATGTAAATTTTAGAAAAGTAAAGAGAAAAAATATGACCAATGGGTTCTCAAGGAGTTTATTTTAAGGGATTGAGAAAAATTACCTGTATACGCTGAAAAAAAGTATAGTTTTTCTCAAGAAGATTAATTTTACAAAAAGTATAGTTTTTCTTAAGAAGATTAATTTTACAACAAATTAGCTTAAACATACATATCTTTCTTCCTGACATGTTGCTAATCTCTACTCAATCAATTAACAGGCATAAGTTACACAATCTAGATTTCCACTGACAATGGCACACAAGGATATATCAAGAACTTACAAATAAAAATGAAAGAACTAATACATAGGGGATTAGTTTGTGTAACACTAGATGCTCATAAATTTCTTGCTTTGGAAACTTTCTGCAGATTCACATGATTTTACTCCCTCAATGCACCACAAATTCCTGATTCAATGAATTATTTAGAACCATTATGTAACAAAACAGAAGGTACTTCAAAACTATCAACAGCTTTCTTCTCCACTGTCACCCAGAATTGGGCAAGTCAATTCTGGGTGACAGTGGAGTCTTGAATTAAAATACAGTATGAAAATGAAGGGAAACTCCAGGTGGCATTTCTCACAGGAGACAGCAAAGACATCAGCCTCTTTCCAACAGAAGGACTGGAATGCGGATTCTTTTTATTTGGAAGTTTTACTGGTTATTGGCTTATACTTGAAGAGGAACCAATGAAATTTCCTTTAGATATTTGAAGTAATACAATTGTTTCTTTTTTCTCTTTAACGTGTATTTTTGTAATGAAAAAATAGCTGAACTCACATTTTCCATTGTAATATCACTTGAGGCGTTCATCAGGTTCACACTTTTGTCAATAGCTACAATCCCTACCATCGAGTGGGGCTGCGTCACAGAGACCCTAAGAGAGACTTTTTCAGCTGGTTCAGCTGTAGCCTTACTCCAAAAGAGGTTTACCTAAGAAAGGGAGAAAGAATTATTTTATTAGTTAAAGTGTTATTTACATGTATTAACAATAACAGATCAATGACTCAAAATCTAGCAAAAAATATATATATTTGCCATTGCCCAGGGATCATTCTAAAACCATACATAAGCCTTCTCTAGGAAAAGAAATTTAAAAAAAAAAACTTTTACTCCCACAGTGTTTGCAAGTGATGGAACTTCTCGCAGTGGCATAAATCTGAATTACCCTTTACTTCTCCACCTTTCCTCTTCCCTTTCTCCATCCCTCACAACTCAGCTCCCAGCCAGTGCTGAAAAGAAAACAACAGTGTCTGGCATACTTGGGGTATGTAGCAGCTTTAATGAGAACAATGGCTCATTTTAATATGTATAAAATGATTTACTTCTGCTTGGCACTCTTGCAATCAGGTTAATTTTCAGAGTAAGGTCCAAGGGGGTTTCCTATGCAAGTTATACACCTTAGGCTACAATAATCACTGGTGTATTTGGAGACCAGACTCCACACAGAGATCTCCACATACAACAGAGCCAAGCTTTTTGTAAATTTGCCCTGGCTTTGTTTCCAGGTTGATGGAATGGATAAACCAAAGCCTGGCTCTCTGCTTTCACATATCATTGCAGACAGCCTCCCCCCAACACCCTTCAGTTTGCTATCACACCAATATCAACCCCATGCTAATTCGATGTTGCCACTGGAGTTCCACGCCAGGGCAATGCATGGTGGTTGACTCCACCATTTGAGAAATCCTAAAATAGCTTCATGGATTTGAGTTAAAGTCTTAAAGTCAAGAATCATAACTTACAAATAAGACCCACACAGCCCAATAATGCCACATTAAAAAATACAGATGTATTAACTAAATATGAAGAGGTTTAACTATAGTTCCAGAAATGAATATAAATTTGTAACCAGCTTAGTTTAGTGATGCTTTTCTAAAAAAATTATATTACATTTCTCAGACTTCACTAATATAAAGCTTTCTTTTAAACATCATTACCTTAAATCTTACCTTATTTTTAAAAACAAGCTCAACAGGAATTTTTAGAATATCATTTATAATTTCCCCATCATCTTCAATATAATACACAATTATACAGGCTGTAGGAGCCCAAGAATTTTCTGGTGTTAAAGAGAATGTTGTTGCATTTTGCTTCCCTACAGCCACCAACTGTCCCCTGGATACTACCTGAAAAAAAATAGTAGTCAAGTTTCATTTTATGCTAAAGCTAGAGAGAATTTCAACGGCAGCTACATTCATCATAATTTTAACTACACACACAAATTTTTTACTTAAACCAACTTCAAAGTCATTTTGACTGCCAGAAAGCCTCCCTGACCAACACAGAGAGTAGAGGCTGGGAAACAGAAAGGCAACGATGGATGAAGCAATAATAGTAGCTTCACAGTCAAGAACGTATTTTCTGCATTATTTACAAAAATTAGGATGTCGAAGCAACCTACTGTCCATCAGCAGACAAGTGACTAAAGAGCATGTAGTCCATACACACAATGAACTATGATTCAGCCACAAAAAGAATGAAATCTTGCCACCTGCAACAACAGGCATGGACTTAGAGGGCATTGTGCTAAATAAGTAAGTCAGGGAAAGACAAATACTGCATGTTTCGTGTATATGTGGAATTAAAGAGCAAAACAAAGGAACAAACAAAACAAAACAGAAACTCACAGACACAGAGAGCAAACTGGTGGCAGCCAGAAGGGAGGAGGTTGGGGAAGGGGCAAAAATGATGAAAGGGGTTAAGAAGTACAAACCGCCAGTTACAAAAACAGCCACAGGGATGCAAAGTACAGCACAGAAAATACAGTCAATAATACTGCAATAACTATGTGTGCTGGCAGATGGGTACTAGACTTACGATGATCACTTCATAAGGTATATAAATGTCTAATCAAATCACTATGTTGCACACCTGAAACTATGCAATATTGTATGTCAACTGTAATTTAAAATAAACAAAATTTTTAATTTAAAAAATCTATCTTTTATTTTTTCTTTTATTGATTCTAGACAGAGGGAAAGGGAGAGAGAAAGAGAATGAGAGAAACATCGATGGGTTGCCTCTCACACACGCCCTGCACTTGCACTGGGAACCAAACCTGCAACCTAGTCTGTACCCTAACCAAGGATCAAACGGGCAGCCTTTCAGTTTGCAGGACGATGCCCAACCAACTAAGCCACACGAGCTACAGTGGAAAAAAAATCTGTTTTTGAGTGGAAGGAATACAGAGCACCACTGGGAGACCTAGATTATCAAAACTACAAGGCTGAATATGGCAATTTTCTTTCTTGTTTGTTTTTCTTATATTTTATAATGTCCTACAATGATGATATGTGGCATAGCTAATAAAATTTAAATATGAAGTGTTAAATTTTAAACCTAATGCAACATTTAATTATCCCTCTTAAATTGGAAATGCAAATATAGGAAAAGAAAGAAGGCAAAATATTGGGATTACAGTATAAACAGGGCAGCCTGAAAAGGTGTGAGGCTGAAATTTAAAATTACTAAGTTTAGTCCTGACCAGTGTGGCTCAATTGGTTGGGCAAAGAAAAAGGTTGCCAGTTGGATTCCTCACCAGGGCACGTGCCTGGGCTGCAGGCTGGTCCCTGGTTGGGATGTGTGAGAGGTAACCAATCAATGTTTCTCTCCCTCTCTTTTTTCCTCCCTTCCCTTCTCTCTAAAAATAAATTAATTAGCCCTGGCTGGTATAGCTCAGTGCCTGAGCGCAGGCCTGCGAACCAACAGGTCACTGGTTTGACTCCCAGCCAGGGTGCATGCCTCGGTCACAGGCCAGGTCCCCAACTGGGAGCATGCAAGGGGCAACCACCCATTGTGTTTCTCTCCCTCTCTTTCTCCTTCCTTTCCCCTATCTCTAAAAAATACATAAATAAAATCTTTTAAAAATAATAAATCAATAAAAATAAATTAATTAATAATTTTTAATCTTATAAAAATTAAGTTTAATCTAGACATAAGTTAGACACCATTTAAGATGATTCCAAAATAGATAATAAATTTAGAATCTATAACAGATTACCATGTAGCTTAACTCCTTCAATTGCTTGTTGCCTCTAACCACCAACTCAAAAGGTGATCCCACCTATTAAAAAAATATTAATTAATATATACATATTAATGGCATAAAAGTGTAATTACATTGTAATTATCAAGTGATTATAAGCATTACCTTTATATTTGCATCTCTTGTTTTGAGCTGGATGTATGTTTTACTAGGAGACTTAAATACGCCATAAACTGCCATGCTACCCACACTATTAAGAAAAACGGCCTATAAGGAAAGAAAAAGAAGCTATAAATTTTCATCTTTAGCAACACCTTGAGAAAAGATGCTACCTACTGAATAATTACTGAAAAGCAAGTGCACTTTTACTTATTTTCATGCAGGAAAAATACATCCCCCAGACACTGGATCTTCAACATTTCATAGCTTACACTCTAAACCAAGTAACATCTATAAAACACAGAGGAAGGTCTTTATCATGATGGTCTAAGAGGGGAAAAAAGCAGTCCTAACTTATTTTAGAAACAAAGGTATATTATCACAAAACACTTGTGAGAGAGAATGATATAAAAAAATGATTCCATTCCTTCTCTCCATGACACAGAGCTCATTTACAAACAAGGAATCATATTAGCCCATTTGACCCACCAACAGTTAGAGTAAAACTCTAAGAGGCCACACTGGTGGGAGGGTCAAGTCACCAAAAGAAAGGTAACAGGAATGGTTGGGGAGTCTTAGACAACAAAGAGCTCAACAAAAAGGGGTACAAGTGTAAAATTTTACATATTACTCTTTCATTTCAGCTCCTGCCAAAATATAATTTCAAATGATTGAAAATCAACCTAGACTGGAAGTTTAGAGAACTTCATCATATTTTCAGATTGCTATATTTTACTGTGCTTTACAAAACGAGTATACAAGGAAGGATTTAGTCTAGCCCTTAGCCACTGTCATTAAATTAATTTTAACACTTTCCCCCATTTGTAGATATAGAAACATATCCACTTCTTGTGCACATTAACCTCCAACAGACTGAATGCTACCACAAAATTACAATTTTTATGATGTTATTGCAATAACATAACGATGGAAGACAAATGTTACCTTCAACTGTAGCTGAGTGGAATTGTCCAGGATTGGGAATTCAATCTTAAATATTCCACTTTGAGGAAGAGTGTAATTTAGCATCTGGACGGCTTCTCCTTCCTGATTTCTGCTGGTCCATCTGCCCTCGTACTGTGTAGAGTTTCTCTGTGTCACCATTATGACGATGTTATTTACTCTTTCTTCAAGAGTCAGTTGCTTGCCATCAGAACGAGTCACCTTCACCTAATCATCAAAATACAACATTGTAAAACCAGGTAACAAGAGACTCAAAGGATTTAAGTTCATTTAAGTCCAGTTTCCATCTATGCTATTCCTATAAAACCAAACTCTTAAAAATGATCAGTGACACCCTAACTTCCGGATTAAGTGGTCTCTCTCCGAGACATCCGACACCACTGACCGCTCCCTTCTTGACATTATGGCTTCTCTTGCTTTTGGCAGCTCCACAACCTCCTTCACTTCATACCCTTCTTTCTGCATCCTCTCAGTTCCCTTCTTGGTTCCCTTTCCCTCCCCTACATGTGGGGACTTGTCAAGACCAAATTATCAACTATCTGTTCTTCTGTCTTCCTGTTGCCACCCACACTTCACTCTGGAGCTCATACTCAACACTTCCAATACCACGGAGGATATTTCTACCTGAATATCCCTGTCATCTCAAATTCAATGCATGCAAAACTGAGTAACCATCTCGCCATTCCTATTTTCTCGAACACCACAAATCTACCAGATTTAACATCCCTGAATTTCCCCTCTCTCCACCCACCTCCCAAATCTAATGTACACACCAAGTCTGTACTTCTCTCTTTCACCCTCTCGACTCCCACATCCACCTCCACAAGGCTGCTCGTCACCTCCCACCCAAGCTGCTGCAGTCCTGATCAGTCTCCCACACTCACAAGGCTCCTAGGCTCTTCACTGCCTGGAGCATAAAGTTCAAACACATATGTGAGCCATTCAGGACCCTCTACAACTGTCCAAGCTGTACCCCCGTTTTCTCTCTGACCGCTCCTGCACAAAAGCTCTCTGTCGCAATGGTGCTGGTAAAGTTACTGTCACCTGAATGCACCCTGAACTGGCCAGCCAGAGAGCTCTCTCGCCTTGGTCCCAGCTCATCTTGCCCTCCACCTCCCACCCCCACACCCAAACACTTAAAATCCTACCCATCTTTTAACAAATAGTTTAAATTCTCCCCTTCCCTAAGGCATCCCTTTAATGACCCTCATCAAAGCGAACTCTTCCTCTGAACTCTGACTGTTTCACTCTACCCATTTGGAAGTTACCTTTTTTTTTTTTTTTGGTTTTTGGTTTTTGGTATTATTTACTTGCCTTTTCAAACTGGCTAAATTATAATATCACTGAAATCAAAAACTATCTAAATTTCTGCAGTCATTCAACAAGAAGTGATGCCTCCTTTCTTTAAACGAGGGGCCAGCGAACTAAGACAGGTGAGGCAACCAATCCGGTGTCCTTGTAAGTAAAGTATTACTGGAACATAGCCACCCTCACCCAGTTACAAAGTGGCAGTGGCTGCTTTCGCACTACGATGGCAGAGTTGAGGAGCTGTGTGTGACACAGAGCACATGGCCCACACTGTTGAAAATATTTACTACCTAGCCCTTTGCAAAAAAAGGGTGCCAAGCCCTTTTTTAAATCCTGTAGAAATTCGTGACACTGATGCTATAGCCGGCCTTGAGTTTTAGTTGTGTATATTTTCCTGTCACCATCACAAAGACTGAGCACCCAGCGCAGGGACTGCATATTTCTCAGCTCTCAAACCCAATCCATCACCAAGCTTTGCACATTGTCGAAATTCACTCAGTTAATAAGTGTTAGTTCTGCCCTAGCTGGTGTGGCTCAGTGATTGAGTGCAGGCCTGTGAACCAAAGGGTCGCTGGTTTGATTCCCAGACAGGTCACATGCCTGGGTTGCAGGCCAGGTCCCTGCTGGGGGTGTGAGAGAGGCAACCACACACTGATGTTTCTCTCCCTTTCTTTCTCCTTCGCTTCCCCTCTCTCTAAATATAAATAAATAAATAAAAATTTTTTAAGTGTTAGTTCAATTTTATCTAAAACAAAACATAGGTAAATTTGTTGATAATTTTTAATACTATCTTTTTGCTAGAACTGAAATTAGTCGTTATAAAAATCAAATTAAAATTGAATAATTTTGACCAGCATCTAATTCCTTCAACTACTTCATAAAAGTTCAATGTAGCAATCCATGTAGTAATTTAAATAAATTTTGAGAAAGATATTTTTGTTGGAGCTACCTTTTCAGAAAAATTAGACAAAGATCATTTGAAAATAATTCTATATACTTCATATATCTAAATAGGAAAAATATCTACTTTTCACTTAAATTTTTTAAAAGCACTGAAAATGTTATTTTGTATTTTGTTTCTTTAAACTGAAGTTAATGCTTTGAGATCACTAATAAATGAGCCAACTTACAGAGGCTGTGAAGTTCAGCGATGGCTTCAAGACAGTAGCATAATCAAAAAAGTCAATGGTGTAATCATGTTGCTTGAAAAATACATTGGCACTTGCATTTCTGGAGATACCTGTTTTGGAAATTGCATCACTTAGAAAGCAAAAGTTAGAGTTCACCAACAGCTTCTATCCACCAAATATCCCCATCTGAGCTAATTCCCCAGGGGCTAAGATATCAGGGCTCAGGGCCACATGCCCACATGGGTTCCGTGGCTGCTGTGTCCTCTACAGATCCTTCTAATAAGTGCCATTACTGCCATCCCCATGACTGACACATGTACCAGGAGATTAAGGCCACTGACAGAGCAGGCTTTTGCTCTTTTTGGGACTGGTGAAAACTGTTGAAATAGCAACAGAAAGACCCAAGTAAGTAACCTTTATTTTATTATTAAGAGAGAAAACTGTCTAGGAGCAGGTGTGATTCAGATGTTAAGTGATCTAAAAAAAAGATGGTCAGCTGAAAAGGTAAGCCTTTCCATGTGTAGTTTTCAGGCTGAAATAAAGAACAGGAAGGAAAAGATTACAAATATCCCTCACATGTGGCTGAAGTACAGACTTTCATAGAAAATAAGTTTCCCCTTCACAATGAAAACATTCTGCAAGCAAGACCACTGAACTGTCATGACAATTTCATCATTAAACAGCATCTTTACCAAGGCAGTGATGTTCCCAAATAAACATGCTAGTTATACTAAAAAAAGATGGTAGAGCTCACCATATAAATAGCTTTACCTTCACTTCAAAGTCCACAAACCTGTAAGTGATTCTGTCACTGTGGCTAAAATTTCTACTGGCCCAGGGGAAGATGGAGACATGTGTTCAGAAAGCCGATCTGAAAAATCCATTACCTTTTTCATCTCTTCATCATTAAAAGAGAAGTTTGCAGATCCATTTATCTGTTTTGTTAAAAATTTACAATTTTATTCTTCACTTTAGCAATTTAAATTTTAGAAATAAAATTCAAACTAAGTAACGTCAAACACTATGATGGCTTCGATTGTATTTTAACCATGATAAAAGGGCAATTCTCACTTGTCTAATGCCCGAAAGCCCATTTTTCTTACATTCAATTTTTTTGTTAATTCAGTACAAATTTTATTTCTAGAAAAAGTACACTTAATAGTTTTCCCCATTACGAGTTATATCTATAAAAGTTACCTTAAATTTTTTTGTAATATTTTTCTTCATGCCCCAAAATGATAAAGGTAAAAATGTAAGTGTTACGTCTCCTCTCACTGGCTTTCCGTATGTATACCTGAAAAATAATAATTTTTTTTTACATTTTCAACTTGACACTATCACACAAATACAATGAATATATTACTTTCAATAGCATATAGGTTGGCAACCCAACTAAAAGAATTATAGGAAAATATACTCTTACTACAAATTTTCAAAACTAAACATAGCTAGGAATGTCCTTAAAAAATGGTGATCCTTGAAATTACATCTCCAAAATGGGAAGACTTTTAACTGCAACACCTCAGAACAGTTCCTAGATAATGCTTTACCCAGACTCTCACCACTTCAGAGACCCCAGAGAAAATCTGATCGTAAGTACAAGTGACAACGTCTTGCTCTAAGATTTTTTTCATTTTTATTGAATTTATTGGGGTGCCACTAGTTAACAAAAGTATGAGGTTTCAGGTGCACAATTCTACAACTCATTATCTGTACACTGTATTGTGTGCTCACCACCCCAAGCCAAGTCTCCTTCCATCACCATTCATGCTCCTGATAACCTCCTGCACCTCCTCCACGATCCCCCCCAGGAAATCACCACACTGTTGTCTGTGTTCAAAGACTTTTAAAAGATTATGAAAATATTTTATTCCAAAGCTCTGGACTGTCCTGTTAACTTAATGCATGCCTATGAGACTCTGTAGTTTTTGAACATTTTTTTAATGCTAGTTGCAATTGTAATCACCATGGCCCATTACTTCATGTTTAAATATTAACCAGGAGGATGTATTAGACCAAACACTCTAGGGCACCAAATGGGCTCATGGCTCTCAAAAATTATCTTGCAGGAAAGTTTAAAATAAGAGTACAGTATTTTTTTAATCCACAGTGCCAAAATTATCTTTTTAAGTAAAATCTCATTTCTGCTGCTTTGCATTCTATGTATTAATTTTATCCCCCTTAATGGAGAGAAAGTCTCTTCATGTGAAGGAGAGGCAATCTTTGCTAAACCATTTTACTGCCAAGAAGCCTTTTTTAAATGTGCTCCCTGGGTTCCTTCCATGTCTCTTGTGAAATGCTGAGCCAAACATGGAAGTCAGCTCTGCTCAAGCGCTGTATAAATCAAACAGTAGTTCTGCTTCCTGAGTCCATCAGTGGAACACAGAAACTGTCTGGATCAACTCAACTCAAAAGTCAGTAGTAAAATACAGCTCACAATTAAGAACAAAATAAATCAAACTTCCAATGTGCCACCCTTCCAAATGAAAACTGTCAAGTTAGTGGAAACTCTGGTGAGCAACTTCAGTATCAAATTCACTCATTCAAACAAGTCCTCAAAATCTAACATTGCTATATTTTGTTAAAGTTTAAATAAATGCACAACTAAAATACCAGATCATTATATTTGAAGTTGTATTCCATGATAGTACAGGGAGCTTGAAAACCCAGACATAATTTAAAGTATCGTCAGACACAAATATTTTTAATTTTTATTTAAATGTGAAGCAGATTTAGCTTCCCAAGCCCCAGGCTGATTGTAATTATTGCAAAAACAAGGACACTGACAGATACTGTCCTAAACAAAATCTGGAAGCATTTGGGATACACTAATTTTTCAGAAAGTTGTAGTTTGACATTTAAAAAAGCAAATCAGAAATACTATTGGATAGTGTTATTAACAACACAAGAATTTTTCTTTTCTTTTTCTTTTTTTTTTTGAAAACAGCCATTGCACAAAACGTTTTTAAAATACCTAAAAATTTGAAAATTTTAACATAATTCACATTTCTTCTCACCTTTTTTCATGTCATTTACAAAATAAAAATGTCTCAATTCTTCAAGAAATAAATACATTTTGATAAATCTTCAGCTAAAAAAATATTTTTTAATCTACAGGAGTTATGGAAGTAACTAGATGTATGCTATTTTCTTGATAATTCTCTTGAACCCATTGTGGTTGGTGGGAAAGAATCTATTATTTATTTCAATAAGGTGGGACTAGTGAACAGACGTTCACATCAAAGCTAATAAACACAGGTTTTTATTCATCTCCGTTAAACTAAAAAGAGACTGTTAACTTTCTTCTTTGGATAATTTCCAGCAATGTTTTGCACATTAACTATGCCTGGATGGGACAGGTGGCTACTAGCAAAACAGTAACCTAAACTATTTACCATTTATTCATAGAGATGTCTATAATAGCTATTATGAAACACTTTAAACCATCCAAGTAGTAAGACAACAGAACTCATTTTCAAAATACAGCCAAGGAACAACTGGATTTCAAGCCTAACCCTCTACCCCCTTATTCTGTGAGAAGACCAAACCCACTGCCCTTATGACTCAGTTTGATTCATTCCAAATAGCAGGCTTTTGACTGGGAGGAAGGCCTTTCCCATGCTACACAGAGCTCAGAACTGAAACCTTAGAGATACTGTTTATCCATTTGTTCTTTCAATATGTATTTGTTGGATGCCTACTCCATGACTAACGCAACAATAGGCACCAAGATGCAGGAGTAAATAAGAAACAGAAACACCTTCAAAAAGGTGGACCAGCAAACAGCAGCACTGTGTGACTATGAGAAGTATAAAGATAGAGCATTAGGAGCAAATAGCCTGCCTTGAGATAGGCTACTTTGTAAAGGCCTATTGGTCAGCAAAAGCATTTTGCATTCTTGGAACTACAACTAACGTTTGGGAATAGTGTGTGAGAGGTTAGAGAAGGGATTAGGTAGGATGTTCCAAAAGATAAGAAACCAGAAAAGAACTCTATAAGATACACTAAAAAATTTGAACTTTGTCCTCGAGAAGATGGTCTAAAAATTTTCATGCAAAACAATCATAAAATTGATTTGTCTTTAAGCCAAAAATAAAAGATAAAGAAGAAGCAGAGGAGAAGGAGAGAGGGGAAGGGAGGAAGAAGACAACAGCAAGAACTCTGAATGCAGTGTAGAGAAAAGATTGGAAAGGGTAAGACTGGAGTAAGGAAAAACTTTTAAGAAACTATAAAAATAATTGAGGAGAGAAAGATGACATTGGCCTGAATCAAAGAAGTGGCAACAGAGATAGGTTTGAAAGACATTAAGGAGATGAAACCAATAGCATTAAATGTTGATTAGATGTGGGGACTGAAGGAGCGGGAATTGTGCAGCTGACGTGGGCAACTAAATAGAGTGTGGTGCAGCCACCAACACAGGGACACAGAAAAGAATTAGACGCAGGGGAAGATGACATATTTCATTTAAAGTATCTGTGGGAAGAGGTAAACCCAGAGAGGTGAAAAATAGATTAGTGGTTGCTAGGAGTCAAGGGCATGGGGAAAGAGGACTGACTGAAAATGGTTACAGTTTCTTTCGTGGGTGATGAAGATGTTCTAATAGCAACTATGGTGGTGGTTGCATAACTGAATATACTAAAACCCACTTGAAATTATACATTTCACGTGGGTAAACTATATTGCATGGGAATAAAACTCTCAATAAAACTGTTATAAAAATAAACAAATAAAGTACCTGTGGGATACCCAGTGGGAGAAGACATGAGGATCTGAGTCTCAATACAGAAATATGGACTAGAGATAGAGATGTCGATGTCATCGGCTGACAAAGAGTAGCAGGAGCGCTGGCCACAGAGAAGAAAATTCAAATGTATAGAGAGAGAGCCGAAAGTGGAACTATGAGGAGCAAGAACCTTTAAAAATAGGCAGAAAGGAGTTGCCTGCAAAGAGTCTCAAAGGAGTAGCCAAAAGGAAAAGAAAAAACAAAAACAAATGGGAGAGGACAACAATGTCAAATGCTGGACAGTGTTGAGAAGGTAAAATGGGTTTAGATGACACAGGGCGAAAGACAGGTTGTAAGGGGCCGAAGAATAAATGGAATGGAAAGAAGTGAAAAATGCAGCGCTCAGTGGGCCGAGAATAGGTGAAGATAGGGCAGTAGCTGGACGGAGACAGGAAGTTCAAGGGAAGATTTGTTTCTTTTAATGACAGATGTGTTTGAACACATAGTGAAGATGCCACTGAAGAACACAATGGAAGCAATGCCAACGCAGGTGAGAGAGGAAGTGGAACTGGGAGCCTCCTGTCAGGAGGCCGTGTCTACCACCTGTACAGAGAGATCAGCCTGAGGGGGGAACAGGTGTTGCTTTCATTCTGCAGATACAAGATCATCCTCTTCACCACCATTTCCATTTTTTCTGGGACACAGCATTTGTAGAATAGGTGTATGCCAGTTTTTGAAGACTTAAAGAAGACTCTGCCAGTCCAAATATTTCATTAATCTTTTGCAAAATTGTAAATTATATCCTCAGTCTGCATGAAAGCAGACTGCCCAGAAACTGCACTGGCAAGCCCAGAACTCATGACTGCTGAGGCGGAGGAAATGTGCATTCCTCTGGGGAAAGGGTTCCTAGGCCTTGTGGGTGGGACAGAGAAGGCTGCACTGCCCTGGGACAGAATCACTTTCCTTTGCCACAACCACGGATATTATCCCTAGACACCTGAGGCTTGGAGAGAGGAGACTTGGAATGACTGTCATCAGAACTAGCCAGATCTGAGAACTTTAGACGGCAAAGAGGCTCGCTATCTTCAACAGAAAAAGCAAGCGTACTGAGAAGGTCTTTTTGATGTGTGAACTTCACTTGGTTGAAGTCCCCAGTCTGTTGAACACTAACCTAGATGTTGAGGTGAAAGTATTTTATAGTTTTAAATTAAAGCTGACTTTAAGTAAAAGAGATTACCCTGCATATTCTGGGTGGGCCTGATTCAATCAGCTGAAAGGCCTTGGGAGCAGAGCTGACTTCCCTAAAGAGGAAGAAATTCTGCCTGTGGACAGCAACTTCAGCCCATGCCTGAGAGTTCCAGCCTGCCCTTCCTGAGTGCCTGCTCAGGATTTAGGATGTGCCTACCCAGCCCCGACCCTCCTCCCCCATCAAGCAAGCTAATTCCTTGCATCCAATCTTACTATGTACCTCCTGCTCATTCTACTTCTGTGATAGAACCCTGACTGCGCCACATACTGAGGGAAATGATAAGAGTACGGCGTGGTGAACACTAAAGTATGCCGGGGCCCTCACAAATGTCATGTTACTATTAGCCATTTGTATTTGAAGAGGCTCAACAAATGAGAAATAGGATGAAACTACAAGAGTTCTTAATGTGCTAGGGGAGGAGGGGGTGTCAGTGGTGTGGTTTTAGGGGGTCCACACCCCCTAAATTGTATATAAAATTGTAGTTAAATTGTATATAAAATTTTCTGAAGTTACTAAAGTTTAGGAGCCACTGTTTTAACTAGTTGTACTGAATCCCTGTCAAAGCCTTGAAAACAATAAACAAAAGCTAAGATGATGTATTTCCACACTCAGCTTAACCCATACAAATGCTGATGGTCTGTGGGGATTTGCACTGCGTTTTATAAGCTTTAGTCAAAGAACTCAAAACAAAACCCAGGCAAAAGGCTTAACCTTCAGCTAAGGTGAAGGGCAAAATAATTATGTAAAATGCAAGCATTTATATGTTTTCTAAACCATAAATCCATCCACAGTACCCCAATTCACTTTGAAAGCTACCTCCTAGTGCAGCATGGGCCGCAAACTAACTTGGTACACAAATCACAGCCATGTTTTTGCCTTTGTGTTGCATGGGTTTCGCGTGATTTTTTGACCAGAGAGCATCTCAAGCAGAAGTCCTCAGAATGTTTTGGTTTGTGGACTGCTTCCACCAGGAAACTCATGGCCCATCACCGCCACTGCCACAAAACCTCACCAGGAGAGGAACACGGTGCGGAAACAGCAGCGAGAGGAGGTCTAGTTCTCATCAGCTATTACAATTGAGTTCTGAAATTAAAGAAATTTCAGAAGCCAAAGCACAGATATTGACACACTGAAAATAAAAGCTTCAAGAGATCAATCCTAGAGTTACTTGAGGACAACCCCAGCCTGTACTTTTGAGAACCTCTAATCTGAGCCTACACTTTTCTTTTTAATGTTAAGTCCAAATATTTCGGGTTCCTTGTTTCTTTTTTCTCCTTTTTTTGTTGAACTTACTGGGGTGACATAGATTAAGAAAATTATGTAAGTTTCAAGTGTACAATTCTATGATACCTCCTTTGCACATTGCATTGCATGCCCACCCCCCCAAGTCACGTCTCCTTCAGTCACCAAACAGTCGGCCCCCGTCGGCCCCCGTCTGCCCCTGCTGCCCCGCCACCACTCTGGTAACTGCCATAGTGCTGTCCAAGTCTGTGAGTTTGAGAACTGTTAGTCTGGAACTCTGAGGATGCTTTTTTGCTTCGCAAAACCACATGCTATGATGTTGGAGCCGGTAGATCAAAACCACAAGAGCCAACTCTACATCTTTTGTACATATGCTGACATGAATAACGCATGTGAACTATTTATTCATATGCTAATTGCAATAGGAAAACCAAATCTCTCCCCCAAGAGTCAGCCTCCATCATTAACAAAAAAAAAAAAAAAAATTAGGAGTTAAGAAGAGGCAAATTGCCTTAATCCATGCCAACTGAATGAGGAATACAGGTACATTTTTAAAAATCTGGCATAAACTATGATGTAAATTTCTCCATTAATCTTGGAAAGACACTAATCCGTGGAAAATATTTTAGGACTGGATCAACTCTGAAGCAAAGAGAAATGGTTTCCATGTTTAATTGTTGTTTATTATAGACATTTGTTTCCTGCCCATTGAGGTATCTTAATAAGCAGAACACTGTGCTGACATTCTGTAATATATAATGATTCTTTGTCATACAGTTTCATAACAGTTTGTATGCATAAAAAATTATACTTACTTTGCTGTGACAGTACCATTTAAACTCTTAGAATTCAAAGAACAATATAATGGTGTCTGCAAAGCAACTTCAAATTTTGGTAATACTGGAAATAAAAACAAGAGTAAGTATTTTAAAGAATCTATTTGCTATCACTTATTTACAGCTTGACAAAATAACAAATAGAATTGTTTTAAAGGAGTTGATAACTGGTAGTTTGAAATCTGATTCATTACAATCCAAATACACAGTAAGGCATGGATGAAAAGCACTTCCCTTCACCCAAAACGAGAAACCGCATGAAGTTACTGACTACACAGTGACAGCAGGGGCCAGTCACTGTGGACACTGGTGTGAGTGGAAATTTCCCATTGGTAGAACCTAAACTGTATCCAGAACCCTAGATGCAAACACATCTGAGTGCTAAAAGACCAGGTTTTTCTTTAACTGTCACCCATCAGTGTGTCCTTATACATGCTAAAACACTCCCACATCACTTGGCAAACAGCTGCTTCTAGAGCAGCCCCTTCCCTAGGGCCTTTCACCAATTCGGTTACTAAAAGAACATCCCAGGGCCTCTTCTTCTGCATGGTGCCACAGAAGCAGTCAAAGACCATGCCTGTCCTTTGAGACAAAGGCAAATCTTGTGACAATCTAATATAACAGACTGCTATACGGAGAAAGTTGTGTAGTAGAAATTCTAGTGAATAAGATATGGCTACAAAATAATCATTTTTTTCCTTGTGTGGCAGGTACTGATAGGTAATTCCAAAATGAGAAACCCTACTTTCATCAGCTTTATGTAATCAAGATATAAAATATTTTATCAATATTAATAGTATTGATATAAAGTACTCATCCAGAATATAACATTTTTTATTTCCTTTCAGTCTACAAAAATATTTTTTTCTCTAACTCACTGACCAGAGAAACAGATCAGTCTCATAAGAGGCATCTCACCATTCGATTAACGCAAGAGAAGTATCAAGGTCAATGGGTCAACAACATGGGCAGACATCCAGCTCCAAAGCAGGCCAAAGACCCTTGTGTTCCAAGACACTCTTGGACTGACTCCACACCAGGCTATGACTGGAGAGTCAAAAAAGCTCTATGGGTCACCTGAGACCTTCCTTGAAGTCTTTCCAACACAGAAATTAGGGGACACTCAGAGGTAGAATTTCCTTAGAGTAAGGAATAAGGAAATAAGAATAAAGAAATTTCTTATTCTAAGGAAATTCAAATGCCCCCCTCCTCAAACATCCTAGGTTGGCATCAATTCCCCACCTCCGTTATACCTCATTCAGCCACATGCCACCACCCAGCACCATCTCTACACAAAATGAAAATATTCTATAGAAATCTTGGCCACCTTTGCTTTATTCTTCTAGATCAAGGCTATCAAAATGAAATAAAATGTGAGCTACAGAGTGTAATTTTAAATTTCTAGTAGCCACATTTTAAAAAGTAAAGAAAAAAAAGCTGGCAAGTTAATTTTTATAATCTTTTACTTAACCATACATACATTCAAAATATTATCATTACAACAAATAATCAATATAAAAATGTTTTTAATGAGCTACTTTTTCTTATTTGTGTACTAGGTCTTCAAAATCTTGTATTGTGCACACTCAGTGCATATCTCCATTCGGACCGGCCACGTTTCGAGTGCTCAACAGCCACACATGGCGAGCTCCGGACAACGGAGCCCCAGATCAGGGGTCAGTAAATGATGACCGGCAGGAACTAAGAGTGGTTTTGGCATTTTAATTGCTTGAAAAACTCAAAAGAAGAATATTTGATAACACGTGAAAACTGCTGAAATGCAGGCTTCTGTGTCCATAAACAAAATGTTACTGGGCCACAGCCACATTCACCCCCCACAGTGTCTGTGGCTGCTCCGGGCTACAACAGCGAAGCTGGGCAGCTGTGACAGAGGCACAAGGCCCATGGAGCCCAGAATATTACTCTCTGGCCCTTTATAGGGAAATTTTGCTGATCCCTGTTCGACTTGACCATGAGGCTCAGATATGACAAGGCGTAAGAGCTCTGTGGAGGCAGGACCACCAAGGTGTAAGAAGGCTACTTTCCAGATCTTCTAAAGCTAAATAAAACCCAGTCTCAAAAAGTAGCACAAATCATACAAAAAAAGCTTATAAAATCAAATTAGAACTAATGCTGGATCCTACACTTTCACTCTCATCTCTCCTTCCCCTCCATCCACCCACAAAATAGTTAGGTCACACTGTTTTCATCTGTGTGGGCCTAACAGAGATGTTATAAATGTGGCACCTGCAAGAACAGGATTTACCTGAGTGAGACCATCTTTACCAGTGCCTACCAAAGGAAAACTATGGGAAATAATTAATGTTATGTTTTTTAAAAAAACACCACACAAAATTTTAAGTGTGTATGTTATAATCACAACAAGGTAGAAAAACGGAACAATTGTGCATAAAAACTAGACAAGCAAAATGGAATTATAAGTGATCTTTTTCTCCTTTATTCTTTTTTAATTCATTTTTATTGTGTTTTTTCCATTACCATTTGTCCCCTCCCCACCGCAATCACCACACTGTTGTCCATGTCATGAGTCCTTTTTCCTTTTTGCTCTGTCCCCCCACTCCCTAACCTCCTCCCCTCCCCCAGAGCAGACAGCCTGCTCTCTATCCATGAGTCTGTCTCTATTTTGCTTGTTAGTTCAGCTTGTTCATTAGATTCCACATATGTGCGAAATCATATGGTATTTGTCTTTTTCTGACTGGCTCCCTCTTTTATTCTTTATAATGACCTTTTATAACTTCCATTTTACAAAGGAAAAAACTATTAGACCTATAAGAAATATCAAGATTTTACCTCCACTGCGATTTTTACTTTAAACAACACATCTTTTGGAAATTTTTCTTGTATCTGTTGGAAGTAATAAATGTGTTTTCCTTCAAAATAAATTGAAAAACTTACCATATTCTGAAACCTGAAATAATTGATAATGTGTCTGGTCCTATTGGGAGGAAGAAAAAACAAAAAAATATATGAGTTCTTATTTAATTATACTGCTTGCTTGCTTACTTACCTCACAGAACAACTGAGGAAAAAATTTAATTACACTTAAAATGATTTAATGAAGAAAAGTTATTGTCATTGTAGTTTATTCTTAGTCATCTACCACATGAGGTCTGTGATATTTTGAGTTTTTCTTGCCAATGCACTAACATAAAAGGGTGACCTGACTCTATAATTCACTATAGGTCATTTAAACAAACTGCTTCATCTGACTTCCATCATCTGTAAAATAAGATTAGATTAAATTTGCTAATTTGGGAATTTATGAGGCAAGGGTAACAACACACATCAAACTAACAGGAAAGAAGTTCAAATTTGTATTGAAAACCACTATCTTGATTTTATAAATAATTAAGAATACAAAATCATCATAGACCAACATCCCCTACCTTCATAATTCCTAGAATTATTTTTTAGTGTAACCCTTAAATCACTACATTATACATTATTTTAATAGATATTGTAAATTAGTTCCTTTTCCATATCAACAAAAAATAGGTGGCCTTTTCCCTAACTCCTCATATTTCCATCTGTCCATTGTAAGTCATAGGTAACACATTAAATAGAAACACTTCACAATAGTTAAGTAATTCCACTAATAAAATTGGTATTCTAATTCTGATTCCGTAACTTTATCAAAGGAAATATCCAGATACGGCTACAAAATATGGGCTTTTAAAAACGTCATCCTTGGTTAATCTGAAGCTACTATACAAGTTATTTTTTTAATCCTAAAAGAATATAATGGGGAGACTTCTTCCAAGATGGAGGCGTAGGTGGAAGTGCTGTACCTTCTCACACAACCAAGTTTAAAAACAACAAAGTTTTAGCAACAAAAATGCAGCCAAACCACAGAAAATTGAACTACACAGAAGTCTGACAACAACCGATAAGAGGGGCAGAGCCAGCAGCAGAGCAGGGTCAGGCAGGAAAGATCCACTGGACTGACCCAGGCACACAACCCAGGCACGCCGGCAGCCGTAGGCAGATCCCAGGTGTGGAGTAGCAGGTGGACCCACTGAGGGTGCAAGGCAGTGGACTCACTGAGGGCAGACCAAAGTCACACATTCAAGCGCAGATAAACTGGTTGAGGAGCAAAGCGGTGAGACAGACCTTGCAGGCCCCAGTGGCAGAAAGTGGCAGAGGGGACCGCCATTGTCCCTCTCTGACCCCACCCCCACATACAGCGTCACAAACCAGCAACCTGGATGGCCTCTCTCTGACCCACCCCCACATACAGCATCACAAACCAGTGACCTGGTTGGCCCCACCCTGGTGAACACCTCCTCATTCGTAACAGGCACGAACAGATCAAAACATGGCTCAAGAACAACTCAGAGCCCCAGAGCTGATAAATCTAAGCAATGAAGAAATAGCTAAACTTTCAGATGCACATTTCAAAACGCTGGTGATCAGGATGCTCACAGAACTGGTTGATTATAGTCACAAATTAGAGGAACATATGAAGGCTAAGCTAATTGAAATAAATGGAAATGCACAGGAAACTGATAGTAATGGAAAGGAAACTGGGACTCAAATCAAAGGAGTGGACCAGAAAGAGGAAAAAAAATGACCAAACAGAAAAGAATGAAGAAACAAGAATTCAAAAAAATGAATCTATAGATTCAATGCAATCCCTATTGAAATACCAATGACATATTTCACAGATATAGAACAAATATTCAACAATTTATATGGAACCAAAAATGACTCCAAATAGCCTCAGCAATCTCAAGAAAGCAAAACAAAGTAGGAGGGATCACAATACCTGGTATCAAACTATACTACAAGGCCACTATAATCAAAACAGTCTGGTACTGGCGTAAGAACAGACACCTAGCTCAATGGAACAGAATAGAGAGTCCAGAAACAATCCCAGATCTCTATGGTCAATTAATATTTGACAAAGAGGACAAGAGCATAAAATAGAGTAAAAATAGCCTGTTCAATAAATGGTGTTGGGAGATCTGGACAGGCACATGCAAAAAAAGAATTGTAGTCTTTAAATTACTTTTTGCTTTACTACTATGGCCTGCACAGGTAAGACTGTGGACTAAGTAACTTGATAATGATGATGTCTGTTTGTCATAACAAATTCATATAGCAAACACTGAGTGAGCATTATATACAAAACATTATATGAGGCTCTATAAAGGTAAATTATAGTCCTCAGCATCAGAGGCCAGTCTAGAAATAGAGCCAGACATAGTCAAGAGCAATGATACAAGACTGACAGTGCCCCAGAGTCTCAGGCACTATGTTTTGCTCAGACTCTCCTCTATGACTGACTTATACATACTTCCATCCTCACCCATCTTGTAAGACTTAGCTCAAATATTACTGCTTCCTCAAATCCCCTGTCTAAAATTAACCTCTCTTCCTCCATTGCACTTTAGTCCTTTTTGGTCACTTTTTACCCTGTGTCATAAATATTTAGGTATACAGCTTATCTTGCTGCAAGTTCTTTGAGAGCCAGGTCCATGATGGACCATTTTTTATCTTATAGTTTATCCCATGCAATGCCAACTTAACAGAGTGCCTGATACCAAAAGAGTGTTTAATGAATATGTGTTAGATTATATAAAAATTACTAGCTCTGACAAATACAGGAAATCAACTTTGTTCAGGCCTACTTTAAACAGCCTTGAAACCAAGTTTTAAGTAATTATTTGTTTAACACTTAAGTAGTTACATTAGACTGTATTTGAAATGAATTCTCCATTTCTGCCACCTACATTACCAATCATCCCTGATAACTCCTGGATTTTCCATCTCTCTGTTTACTGTCTCCTTCCCTTCATTCATTGTATAAACATTTTGAAGACTTCTTCCTTGTTTCCTTAATAGTCCTCTCTCTCTGATCCTGAAATGTTGGCTCTTCCCATCTGGAGCCCAGTGTTAATCCTACTCTCTTTACCCTTAATGAGCTCATCAGCTCCCATGGTTTGTATTGCCATCTCCATACAACTCTTAACTAATTAGCCCTAGCACAGGGGTGTCAAACTCATTTCCACCAAAATAATTTTAGGACTGTATAAATGCAATTACTCCTTAACTGTTAAGGAGTTGAAATTACATGTGGCCCTTTGAAGGCAGCTGCAAGGCTGATGTGGCCCCCCGTGAAAATGAGTTTGACACCCCTGCTCTAGTCCATACCTCAACCCAGAGATTCTGACTCAACTCCACCTTCTCAGCATCCCCACTAAATGTCCTATAGAATGTCCAGGACTTCTTTGTCTGGATTCACCAGCACCATTCCTTGATTGCCTCCCCCCATGTTGTTAGATGCACCTTCTCTCCCATAATATCCTGTGTTAAGTTTTACTTAAAATAATATACGATAATTATCTGCTTTTTGTCCATCTCCTGTGATAGAAAACAAAATCAGGCACAGCACCTCATTTCAGCATGCCTTCAATGTTCGTTGAATGAATGTATGTATAAATGAATGAACAAATTGATTCCTGTCCCCAGGCTGGTTTTTACCGGGTTCATCAGATTAGCCTCAGTTATACAGTATCCCCTGCAAGAAATTAAAATAGCCTTCTCATGAGCAGCCTCAGACTACCCTGAAAAGGCACAGCCATCCGTCAAATGATCCACAGACTAATCTTAATTTAACTCTCTGCCCTGCATTTGGAAACAATAAGAATGCCCAGGAGTGAAAGAAGCTAGCCTTCATGGAAAACTGAAGAAAGAGCAGAAGGAAAGTGCTTCTTTTCAATGTCATTTTAAATTGTTCCAATAAATCAAAAAAAAACTTTTTGTAACTGAGTGCTGACAGTGTGCTTCATACCAGACAAAGTTTCCCAGGCTGTTTGTAAGTGGTGAAATGCAATTTATTTTACTCTCCAAGGGGCTTAAAAAAAAGAAATGGATTTTGTAATTTTTAACATATTGTCTATTAGGCCATACCAACTTTCACAATGAGTTTGATTATTTTTATAAAATATTTTTACAGCCCCTGCTGGTGGCTCAGTTGGTTGGAGCATCGTTCCACACACCAGAAGGTTACAGGTTTGATTCCCAGTCAGGACACATACCTAGGTTGCAGGTTTAATCCCCTAGCAGGGTACATGCAGGAGGCAATGCATCAATGTTTCTCTCTCTCTCTCCCTTCCTCTCTCTCAAAATCAGTAATAAAATACATATATATTTAATCTTTACCATCCTCAGGTAAGGAATAAAAAATAATTTTAAAAATTTTTAAATATTTTTTACAAATAAGAATAGTAGAAGTTACTAGAAAATTTATATTAATAATATTTCTAAAAAAAAAATATTTCTGCAGGGACTGGTGCAGCTCAGGGGATTGAACACCGGCCTGCGAACCAAAGAGTCACAGGTTTGACTCCCAGTCAGGGCACATGCCTGGGTTGTGGGCCAGGTCCCCAGTAAGCAACATGGGAAGGCAATTGCACATTGATGTTTTCTCTCCCTCTCTTTCTCCCTTCCTCCCCTCTCTAAAAATTAATTAATTAATTAATTAATTAAGTTCCAAGAATTAGTAGCAATTTATGCCACATGTAACCACAAAGCCCCTGATACTGAGTACTTTCATTAGACCAGAACAAAAATTGCAAACTTTTTCTATAAAGGACCAGACAATAAATATTTAGGCTTTGCAAGTGGAGGAGTTCAGAACAGGCCTCCTCAAGCTGTGCCACTTTGGCACACGGGTTATTTTAGTTGAAGACACTCAAGACCCTGCGGGCTCCTGAAAAACTTTTACCTTTCCCTTCAAAAATTTAAATTTGGAGCCTACCTATAATAAGAGTTATTACCAGAAATAACTTTTCATGACCCATCTACAGGGCGAGGCAAACTTCTAATCACTGGACATTGGCTGTTCACAGTGACCTGAGAATGACCTTCCTCCCCTCTGTTGGGTGCTTTACCTCTTAGCTCCGACTGTCACAGATAACCCCATTTTAACTT